GCCACACGCACATGCCACCACTGCCACACGCACATGCCACCACTGCCACACGCACATGCCACCACTGCCACACGCACATGCCACCACTGCCACACGCACATGCCACCACTGCACACGCACATGCCACCACTGCCACACGCACATGCCACCACTGCCACACGCACATGCCACCACTGCCACAGCACATGCCACCACTGCCACACGCACATGCCACCACTGCCACACGCACATGCCACCACTGCCACACGCACATGCCACCACTGCCACACGCACATGCCACCACTGCCACACGCACATGCCACCACTGCCACACGCACATGCCACCACTGCCACACGCACATGCCACCACTGCCACACGCACATGCCACCACTGCCACACGCACATGCCACCACTGCCACACGCACATGCCACCACTGCCACACGCACATGCCACCACTGCCACACGCACATGCCACCACTGCCACACGCACATGCCACCACTGCCACACGCACATGCCACCACTGCCACACGCACATGCCACCACTGCCACACGCACATGCCACCACTGCCACACGCACATGCCACCACTGCCACACGCACATGCCACCACTGCCACACGCACATGCCACCACTGCCACACGCACATGCCACCACTGCCACACGCACATGCCACCACTGCCACACGCACATGCCACCACTGCCACACGCACATGCCACCACTGCCACACGCACATGCCACCACTGCCACACGCACATGCCACCACTGCCACACGCACATGCCACCACTGCCACACGCACATGCCACCACTGCCACACGCACATGCCACCACTGCCACACGCACATGCCACCACTGCCACACGCACATGCCACCACTGCCACACGCACATGCCACCACTGCCACACGCACATGCCACCACTGCCACACGCACATGCCACCACTGCCACACGCACATGCCACCACTGCCACACGCACATGCCACCACTGCCACACGCACATGCCACCACTGCCACACGCACATGCCACCACTGCCACACGCACATGCCACCACTGCCACACGCACATGCCACCACTGCCACACGCACATGCCACCACTGCCACACGCACATGCCACCACTGCCACACGCACATGCCACCACTGCCACACGCACATGCCACCACTGCCACACGCACATGCCACCACTGCCACACGCACATGCCACCACTGCCACACGCACATGCCACCACTGCCACACGCACATGCCACCACTGCCACACGCACATGCCACCACTGCCACACGCACATGCCACCACTGCCACACGCACATGCCACCACTGCCACACGCACATGCCACCACTGCCACACGCACATGCCACCACTGCCACACGCACATGCCACCACTGCCACACGCACATGCCACCACTGCCACACGCACATGCCACCACTGCCACACGCACATGCCACCACTGCCACACGCACATGCCACCACTGCCACACGCACATGCCACCACTGCCACACGCACATGCCACCACTGCCCACACGCACATGCCACCACTGCCACACGCACATGCCACCACTGCCACACGCACATGCCACCACTGCCACACGCACATGCCACCACTGCCACACGCACATGCCACCACTGCCACACGCACATGCCACCACTGCCACACGCACATGCCACCACTGCCACACGCACATGCCACCACTGCCACACGCACATGCCACCACTGCCACACGCACATGCCACCACTGCCACACGCACATGCCACCACTGCCACACGCACATGCCACCACTGCCACACGCACATGCCACCACTGCCACCACATGCCACCACTGCCACACGCACATGCCACCACTGCCACACGCACATGCCCACCACTGCCACACGCACATGCCACCACTGCCAACACGCACATGCCACCACTGCCACACGCACATGCCACCACTGCCACACGCACATGCCACCACTGCCACACGCACATGCCACCACTTCCACACGCACATGCCACCACTGCCACACGCACATGCCACCACTGCCACACGCACATGCCACCACTGCCACACGCACATGCCACCACTGCCACACGCACATGCCACCACTGCCACACGCACATGCCACCACTGCCACACGCACATGCCACCCACTGCCACACGCACATGCCACCACTGCCACACGCACATGCCACCACTGCCACACGCACATGCCACCACTGCCCACGCACATGCCACCACACGCACATGCCACCACTGCCACACGCACATGCCACCACTGCCACACGCACATGCCCAATGCCACACGCACATGCCACCACTGCCACACGCACATGCCACCACTGCCACACGCACAGGCCACCACTGCCACACGCACATGCCACCACTGCCACACGCACATGCCACCACTGCCACACGCACATGCCACCACTGCCACACGCACATGCCACCACTGCCACACGCACATGCCACCACTGCCACACGCACATGCCACCACTGCCACACGCACATGCCACCACTGCCACACGCACATGCCACCACTGCCACACGCACATGCCACCACTGCCACACGCACATGCCACCACTGCCACACGCACATGCCACCACTGCCACACGCACATGCCACCACTGCCACACGCACATGCCACCACTGCCACACGCACATGCCACCACTGCCACACGCACATGCCACCACTGCCACACGCACATGCCACCACTGCCACACGCACATGCCACCACTGCCACACGCACATGCCACCACTGCCACACGCACATGCCACCACTGCCACACGCACATGCCACCACTGCCACCACGGCCACATGCCACCACTGCCACACGCACATGCCACCACTGCCACACGCACATGCCACCACTGCCACACGCACATGCCACCACTGCCACACGCACATGCCACCACTGCCACACGCAACATGCCACCACTGCCACACGCACATGCCACCACTGCCACACGCACATGCCACCACTGCCACACGCACATGCCACCACTGCCACACGCACATGCCACCACTGCCACACGCACATGCCACCACTGCCACACGCACATGCCACCACTGCCACACGCACATGCCACCACTGCCACACGCACATGCCACCACTGCCACACGCACATGCCACCACTGCCACACGCACATGCCACCACTGCCACACGCACATGCCACCACTGCCACACGCACATGCCACCACTGCCACACGCACATGCCACCACTGCCACACGCACATGCCACCACTGCCACACGCACATGCCACCACTGCCACACGCACATGCCACCACTGCCACACGCACATGCCACCACTGCCACACGCACATGCCACCACTGCCACCACTGCCACACGCACATGCCACCACTGCCACACGCACATGCCACCACTGCCACACGCACATGCCACCACTGCCACACGCACATGCCACCACTGCCACACGCACATGCCACCCACTGCCACACGCACATGCCACCACTGCCACACGCACATGCCACCACTGCCACACGCACATGCCACCACTGCCACACGCACATGCCACCACTGCCACACGCACATGCCACCACTGCCACACGCACATGCCACCACTGCCACACGCACATGCCACCACTGCCACACGCACATGCCACCACTGCCACACGCACATGCCACCACTGCCACACGCACATGCCACCACTGCCACACGCACATGCCACCACTGCCACACGCACATGCCACCACTGCCACACGCACATGCCACCACTGCCACACGCACATGCCACCACTGCCACACGCACATGCCACCACTGCCACACGCACATGCCACCACTGCCACACGCACATGCCACCACTGCCACACGCACATGCCACCACTGCCACACGCACATGCCACCACTGCCACACGCACATGCCACCACTGCCACACGCACATGCCACCACTGCCACACGCACATGCCACCACTGCCACACGCACATGCCACCACTGCCACACGCACATGCCACCACTGCCACACGCACATGGCCACCACTGCCACACGCACATGCCACCACTGCCACACGCACATGCCACCACTGCCACACGCACATGCCACCACTGCCACACGCACATGCCACCACTGCCACACGCACATGCCACCACTGCCACACGCACATGCCACCACTGCCACACGCACATGCCACCACTGCCACACGCACATGCACCACTGCCACACGCACATGCCACCCACTGCCACACGCACATGCCACCACTGCCACACGCACATGCCACCACTGCCACACGCACATGCCACCACTGCCACACGCACATGCCACCACTGCCACACGCACATGCCACCACTGCCACACGCACATGCCACCACTGCCACACGCACATGCCACCACTGCCACACGCACATGCCACCACTGCCACACGCACATGCCACCACTGCCACACGCACATGCCACCACTGCCACACGCACATGCCACCACTGCCACACGCACATGCCACCACTGCCACACGCACATGCCACCACTGCCACACGCACATGCCACCACTGCCACACGCACATGCCACCACTGCCACACGCACATGCCACCACTGCCACACGCACATGCCACCACTGCCACACGCACATGCCACCACTGCCACACGCACATGCCACCACTGCCACACGCACATGCCACCACTGCCACACGCACATGCCACCACTGCCACACGCACATGCCACCACTGCCACACGCACATGCCACCACTGCCACACGCACATGCCACCACTGCCACACGCACATGCCACCACTGCCACACGCACATGCCACCACTGCCACACGCACATGCCACCACTGCCACACGCACATGCCACCACTGCCACACGCACATGCCACCACTGCCACACGCACATGCCACCACTGCCACACGCACATGCCACCACTGCCACACGCACATGCCACCACTGCCACACGCACATGCCACCACTGCCACACGCACATGCCACCACTGTCACACGCACATGCCACCACTGTCACACGCACATGCCACCACTGTCACACGCACATGCCACCACTGTCACACGCACATGCCACCACTGTCACACGCACATGCCACCACTGTCACACGCACATGCCACCACTGTCACACGCACTTGCCACCCTTCCTTCTGCCGTGCTTTCCCACGTCCATCCCCCAAGCCAGCCCAGCCCGCCCTGTGTGTTGTCACCCTCAACGCACCTGCAGCGACTGCCCGCTGCTGTCTCTCCACCGCACACTGCACCACCATGCACCGTCTCATCCCCTCCCTCCCACCGCCCCATATCTCCCCATCCGCTGCAACCTCCCACTGCCCCTCTCCCGCGCTCGTCCCTGCTGCACCATGTCCCATGCGCCCCACGCGCCCAGCCGCCTGTGCCTCACTGACAAGGGATGGCAAGTCCGCCGTCTGCCCTCCCCCCGCTGCCACAGCACCAACCAGCGCCTGCTCTGCTGCCTGCAATGCGCCTGCTGCGCCGGCTGCTACCTGCCCCTCCGCGCCTGCCTTGTTTGCCTCCCCCTGCCTCGCCCTCACTGCCTCTGCCAGCGCCGCCAGGGACTCCAGCTGCACCAATGACACGGTGCCATGTGGCATGAGAAGCTCCCTCTCCAGCTCCTGGAGCAAGGCAGCAGCAGAGAGCGAGAGACAAGTTGGTGATGGGAAGGAGATGACTCAAGTGCACCGCTCCTGCCACGCATCATCCCCCACCCATCCCCCTGCCCTCTTCCCCTTTCATCTCCTGCAGAGCTTCCTGAAAACAGCCACCATTCCCATTTCATCCCTTAAACAAGAATCTGTAACTTGAGGCGAGGTAGAATCGACATGGAGCGACTCAAAAGCTATCCCATTGCCCTGCCTCCCCCTGGCCCAGCATCACCTGCAGGGCGGCAGTGAGCACGGCGTGCATGCCATCACCTGCAGGGCGGCTGAGAGCACTTCGTGCATGCCCCTCTCGTCCTCCTCTGCCAGCGCCACCGCCTGCTGCTGCTGCCGCATCACCTGCCCGTTCGCCTCCACCAGCGCGCGCACTGCTGGGTGCCTGGCAGGGGGCGCACACATGCACATGGGCGGGGCGACGAGAGAGGGGAAGCATGTGAGGCGCGCTAACAGCGTGCATGGTGCCTGCTGGGTGCCGTGCCGCACACATACAGCGATGGATGGGCGTTGAGGGGAATCAGTAGAGAGGAGCGGAAGAGCGTGCAGAGCCAGGAGGTTAGGCGAGTGGGCGAAGGCAGGGCACAAGAGGTGCGTGCGGGTAGCAGGCGTGCGTGACACCCACCTGCCTTGCAGATCAGGCATGGCAGCATCTCCCACCCACGCCTCTGCTGCATCCGTGTCACCATCGCTCTCACCCGCAGCACCACCACTGACAGATGCAGTGCCGGAGTCAACGGCGGCGAGGGGCGCCAACGGCAGTGCGGCACTTGCAGCAGAGGCACGTGGGTGAGGCACCACACGCTGGTCGAACGATGCTGCCGCTCCCCTCTGCCACGCCTCCTGCCCCTCCTGCCACGTGTCCGCGTGTGATTGCAGCAGGAGCCCCTCGTCTCCTCCCTGCGCGTCCAGCGGCGTGAGCGCGAGGGGCAGCAGCAGCAGCGAGCACGCCACCGCTCCCAGCACGGCGCCCAGGGCGAACGGCGCCGCCCACGCGCACGCCGCACTGCCAGGGGGGCCGGGCACGCGCGCACGTGGAGGGAGGTCGTTAAGGGGAGAGAATATGCGCACAGGTGTTGGGGGGGCAAAGCGGGCGCGCGCATGGTGCGTACCTCAACCAGGGGCGTGGCTCGGCGGCTGCCCCGCCGGCAGCGGGCGCGCCAGTGGCGGCAGTGGATCGATGCGGGTAGAAGTCGCCTGGAGAGGTCGCAGGGAGGGGGGTCACAAGGAGAGGGGTGGCAGGAAGTGGGGTAACAGGGTGACGCTTGCGGGATGCGGTGGAAGACGAGGAGGATGGGGGGAAGAGAAGGAGGGAGGCTGGCTGCTGTGATCAATGGGGGAGGATATACACGCATTCGCGTCTGGGTGATCACAACAGTACGGGAGTCCCGATCGCTATCGAAATGAGGTCGTTTCACGAGACGCTTACGAGGTGTGACGTGGAAGCGCATTGTCGCCCGGGCATTAGCGGCTGGAGGTTTCTATGAACGCATTGTTGTGAATCGGTAACAATCTAGGCAGACGCGGAGAGGCGCAGACGGAGAAGCGGCGGAGCAGAAGAGCGTACGTGAAGAATTTGCGTGCTTGTACAAGCCGGTGATGGAGGAGCTTCAACGGAGGACGAACACTCGATGAAAATGGCGGCACGCGGAACAGAGAAGGAGGCTCACAGTTATTGAGTAACCAACCAACCTTTTCCTCTCAAGCTCTTTCATGATCAAAGGTGTACTCGTGTCAAGAGCGGCAAACTCGTTATTGACTTCCTAACATGGTACGAAAAAAAAAACATTATACAATTTGGGTAAGTCCAAAATGTGTGCTATCCATGAGCTTCCTAATGGCTACCGGTGTTTGGTACCGGTGTTATGTGGCGGCGGCCTTCTTTTTCTTCTTTGGTTTCTCAGCACTGGCTGCTGCCTCCCCTGCGGCCTCATCCTTGACCTTCTTCTTGCTCTTCTTGCCACTGCCTGGCGTCCCCCCGTCCGCCTCCCCCGCCGCCTTTTTCTTCTTCTTCTTTGGTGACCCCTCTGCTGCACCACCTGCTGCTGCCTCGCCTTCTGCCATCACCACCAGCCACAGCAGCACAAGACGACAAGAATGCAAGGACGGGTTGAGCAAACCAGGACATGGCAAGGCATGGGTTAAGGTGACAACGTGCCAAACAATTCAGGTGTGCTGCACTGAGTTGGTCACGACCTGCAGCAGGTGAGCACCCAAGCCATCACCTGTTGTCCAGCAACCCTCTCAGCATGTCATGTGGAAAAAAACCGGGAGGGGAGCCCACCTGCAGGGCGCTTGGAGCCGACGTCAGCATCGGCCTGCGCCTCGGCCTTGGCGGCAGAGATGGCGGCCTTCATGACGTCGAGGTTGCGCTTGGGCGCCACGCCCTTGTCGTAGAACTCGAGGCGGTCCTCCACCTGCTGCTTCAGCTTCTCCCCAAACACACTCGTGCTCGCCTCTGCACAAGCAGCACCCGTGGCACAGGGGAGGGGGGTGGAGGGGGGGGAAAGGAGCGAGAGAGGGAGAGATGAGTTGGTGGACGGCCAGAGCAGTGGACTAGCTGACAAGAAGGTCAATGAGGAGAGCAGGGGTGCAGCCAAAGACAATGCGTGGGGTGGGGGGCACCTGAGAAGCAGTCGATGCGCGAGGCCATGGAGCACTTGTTGGCGAGGTAGCGGCTGATGCGCCCCTTGTTCTTGGCGGATGCACGGCCGATGAAGGACGAGTGGAAGATGAGCCCGTACTTGGGCGTGTTGCCCTTCGTCTTCAGCGCCCTGCCCAAGGGGAGAGGGGGAGGGGGGGGAGTGAGAGAGGTGTGTGGGAGGAATTGATAGATAAGGGAGCAAGCGAGGGTGCATTGGCCGCATTGCCACGAGGGTACATGGAGCGTGTGCGGTGGGCGGGCGCGTACCTGAAGAGGGCCTTCTCGGCGCCGAGGATCTGCACGGTGCTGGCGGGGTACTTGGCGAGGTTGGTGAGGCTGCCCGCGTGCGAGATGAGGCGCGCGCCCACCATCTCGCCGATCAGCGCGGCGAGGTTGGGCGCCACGTCGTGCATCTTGGCCGTCAGGTACGAGTGCAGGTCGCGCCGGTACTCCACCAGCGCCACCACGCGCGATGCGAACGCCTCGATGTTGATCAGATCGATCGGTGAGATGTCCTGGCCTGTGGGTGGTAGTTGGGGGGGAGGGAGCGCGGGGGCAAACAAGTGCGGAGGGTGGGAGAGGCTGAGAGAGAGCGGGGAGGGCCGTGTAATTGAGGTGGGGAGGAAGGGAGCGGCATGGATGGGTGGTGAAAGCCCGGGGCGGGTGAACTGCCAAGGAGGCGAGGGGAGTACGGAAAGCAAGAAACCTGGAGCTCGAACACGAATGCAACGAATGTCGCATGGCCGCCCAACCCCCGCACGCTCTCACACCAACACCATTGCCTAAACCCCTGCCCGCACTTCCCCTACACTCCGGCCGCTGCTGCCTCTGCGTCCCCCTCGTTTCTCTGCTACCGCGAACCATCTCTCGCCGCAATTCCCCGCGTGCCCCCCTTGCCCTGCCCCCATACCGCAGCAGAACACCCCTCCCTCTCAGCGCCCCCCCTCCCTCCCCCCTTCCCCCCCCGCCCCCTTGCCCGCACGGACCCATGCTGGCCTTGGCGGCGTCGAGCACCTCCTTGGCCTTATCCTCGTCGCCGATGATCTCCGTCAACTCCGCCACCGCCTCCTCCGTCAACGTCGCCTTGTCCCGAACGCGCCGCGCCACGCGCGCGTACGTGTAGTTGTCCGTCACGATGCGCGCCAGCTCGGGGAAGTGCCACGAGTACCACTCCCTGCGCCGGCACGAACCCACGGAGACACACAGAGACGAGTGCGCACACACAAGTGATGAGAGCGGCTGCAGGGGGAATTGACGCGAGAGGAGCGTCTCAGGGTTCCGAGGTTTGGCGGACTCCGCGTCTCGCGTGGCTCAAGAAATCACAACCAGCCAAACGCGTCGCAGATGCACGGCGAATGCGTAAGGGGCGAGCGGGGAGGTGGAACTGGGCGGTCACCTGACGCGCATGCAGAAGGTGTTGACGTCTTTGTCGAGCGTGTCGAGCAGCGAGATGGCCTGGATGATCATGTTGTCCACGCGATTCACGTTGAACTTCACCTTGCTGCGACTGTAGCTGTGCCCCAACCCCAGCTGCGCCTTCGCCACGTCGCCCTCCTTCAGCTCCTTCACGAACCGCGCGAAGTGCAGCCGCACGCCGCGCATGAGCTCCATGACGAGGTCGTTGCTGACGCACGGCACGCCCGCCGTCTCCTGAATGGCGGAGCCGAGCTTCGACTCGGACACGCCCAGCTGGTACGACGGCTTCTTGCCCGCCTTGGCCTTGGCCTTGGGCAGATTCATCTCCAGGAAGCTCTGCAGCTCCGGGGTCAGCAGCCCTGCCATGCACCACCAGCACAGCCGCGCCGTACAAGCAACAGCGTGAGCACCGTCGGCACGCCTCAGCACGAGCGCACGCCGCCACAAGCATCACGCACCCGAAGAACATGTCCCGTGCGCTAAGACGGTCTGCGCGGACTGCATTAGCGGAGAGCGTCGAACGGAAAGGCACGCGCATGGGGAGGATGGGACGGAGAACGAAGAGCGTACCTTCAGAGACGGCGTTGCATTGCTCGAGCGCGTCCGCCGCTGAGCTGAAGGGTTTGAATGCGGAGAGATTGACGACCTGGCTGAAGCGCGTGAGATCCGCCACGGACGCTTGGACAGCGTCTGAGCTCTGCGCCAACTCGTCCAGCGCCTTGACTTCGAACAGGCCGTAGCCTGACGACGACTCGAACAACAGGAATAACGCCTGCGCATCAGAAACGAGCCGCCAAAGGCGCGAGGCGAGAGACACGAGCACCACGACATCAATTCCAGAACGTTTGCAGCATGCAGACGTGCCGACACGGAAAGAATCAGATAACGTACCATTAGCAGCAAGCAACGGCGCGATGTCTATAATCTACTACTATCGCACATCAACCCAGGAATAAACCCTTAGCGGCCTGAGACCCTAGCATGAGATGCCCTGGGGTTTGTTTGCAAAACACTGATGGCGAGGCGAGGAGCAGAAACAAAGGACCAGCGACCACCCTTGCTCTCACAACCTCCGCTTTGAACCAGCACCCAACACCTGCGTCTTCGTGTTACAGAACATGATATATGCATCTTACCATATTCTGACATACATATATCCAGTGTATTGCAACTATACCATAGTGTATATCCTAATCAATTTATCTGCAACTGATTCTTTCAATTGATTGTTTAAATCAATTGTTTTTACCGAAACTCTTGTTTTCCTTGCCATTAATATTAGTGACAAAAAGTACAACCAGTTATCGGTAAATTTAGTCGATCGCTCTATGTTATATCATAAGGTGTTAAACATATTTGTGCTTTATATCGGCCTGGTTTTACCCTTGTATTATCTAAGTCAGTTTAGCAGTTTTCGTGTATACAGCCGCAAAGCAGGGTCTCAATTCTGGGCTTGCTCACAGCGAACCAAGCTCGGGTAGGAGGAATCTTATCGTGTCGCGGTAACTACTATAGTTGCTCGTCAATTCTGTCTAGTGACTCTTCCAAGCATAAAGCACCACCACAACAGGCAACCTTTAGGCGACGGTCCGAGTGTGTGTCCCATCGCGCCACTTTCTCGTGCTCCTGCGAATCTCGGATTGCAGGGAACTGATTTTTCAGCGTTTTGTGCTAGTTCCATCTGCCGCATCGTTCGGGCCGCGTCTCCTCGCGGGCTGCGTCCTCTTGCACGGGGGGAGCACGCATCGGCGCGCAGCATGAGGACGGGTGGCACGTTTCAGGAGATCGTGGCGGTGGCGGTGTCGCTGGGGGGCCTGTGGGCGCTGCTCCTGGCGCAGCAGTTCCCGCCCGCCGTGAACCAAGTCCTCCTCATCGTACGACGCCACCCCGCTCCCCGCATCCCCGCCGCACCACATGCCTCCGCCCTTCTCGTCACACTCGCCGCCCACTTTTGTCGTTCCCATCCGCTCCCGCCAATCCCACCCATCTTCTCATCTCCCCAACTCCGCCCCCCCCTCCCCCCCCCCCCTCTCTCTCCCAATCCCGCCCCTCTATCTCCGTGTTTCTCGGGGCATCTGACCTCACGCGCATCCCCTGCGTCCTCGCGCGTGGCGCAGCTGCCGGTGTACGCGTTTGTGACGCTGGGGTGCTACGCGGTGGGCGCGCTGGGGTACGGGCTCATGCGCTTCCCCACCTGCCCGCACGAGGGCGCGCTGCTGCGCCAGGTGACTTTGGCGGGTGTGACTGTAGCGAGGGCTGTTGTGTGGCTGCAGTGTAGTGATTGTGGTGGGGGCTGTTGTGTAGCAGGACTGGTGGTGTATGGGCAATGGCAGGGACATGAGGGGATGGCGCACAGTCACAAGGATGGCAGGGCGACCTCGGTGCTTTGGAATCAGCACACTTGTGGTGGGAGGGAGGGGCGTAAGGGCGCCATGCTCATATCGATACCGACTGCTGCTACTGCTTACATCTGAGTGCTTCCCACATGCCTGCATGGTTGCTCACCCTCTAACATGTATGCATGTTTGGTGGCATGGCATGCATGTGTGGTGGCATGGCATGCATGTGTGGTGGCATGGCATGCATGTGTGGTGGCATGGCATGCATGTGTGGTGGCATGGCATGCATGTGTGGTGGCATGGCATGCATGTGTGGTGGCATGGCATGCATGTGTGGTGGCATGGCATGCATGTGTGGTGGCATGGCATGCATGTGTGGTGGCATGGCATGCATGTGTGGTGGCATGGCATGCATGTGTGGTGGCATGGCATGCATGTGTGGTGGCATGGCATGCATGTGTGGTGGCATGGCATGCATGTGTGGTGGCATGGCATGCATGTGTGGTGGCATGGCATGCATGTGTGGTGGCATGGCATGCATGTGTGGTGGCATGGCATGCATGTGTGGTGGCATGGCATGCATGTGTGGTGGCATGGCATGCATGTGTGGTGGCATGGCATGCATGTGTGGTGGCATGGCATGCATGTGTGGTGGCATGGCATGCATGTGTGGTGGCATGGCATGCATGTGTGGTGGCATGGCATGCATGTGTGGTGGCATGGCATGCATGTGTGGTGGCATGGCATGCATGTGTGGTGGCATGGCATGCATGTGTGGTGGCATGGCATGCATGTGTGGTGGCATGGCATGCATGTGTGGTGGCATGGCATGCATGTGTGGTGGCATGGCATGCATGTGTTGGTGGCATGGCATGCATGTGTGGTGGCATGGCATGCATGTGTGGTGGCATGGCATGCATGTGTGGTGGCATGGCATGCATGTGTGGTGGCATGGCATGCATGTGTGGTGGCATGGCATGCATGTGTGGTGGCATGGCATGCATGTGTGGTGGCATGGCATGCATGTGTGGTGGCATGGCATGCATGTGTGGTGGCATGGCATGCATGTGTGGTGGCATGGCATGCATGTGTGGTGGCATGGCATGCATGTGTGGTGGCATGGCATGCATGTGTGGTGGCATGGCATGCATGTGTGGTGGCATGGCATGCATGTGTGGTGGCATGGCATGCATGTGTGGTGGCATGGCATGCATGTGTGGTGGCATGGCATGCATGTGTGGTGGCATGGCATGCATGTGTGGTGGCATGGCATGCATGTGTGGTGGCATGGCATGCATGTGTGGTGGCATGGCATGCATGTGTGGTGGCATGGCATGCATGTGTGGTGGCATGGCATGCATGTGTGGTGGCATGGCATGCATGTGTGGTGGCATGGCATGCATGTGTGGTGGCATGGCATGCATGTGTGGTGGCATGGCATGCATGTGTGGTGGCATGGCATGCATGTGTGGTGGCATGGCATGCATGTGTGGTGGCATGGCATGCATGTGTGGTGGCATGGCATGCATGTGTGGTGGCATGGCATGCATGTGTGGTGGCATGGCATGCATGTGTGGTGGCATGGCATGCATGTGTGGTGGCATGGCATGCATGTGTGGTGGCATGGCATGCATGTGTGGTGGCATGGCATGCATGTGTGGTGGCATGGCATGCATGTGTGGTGGCATGGCATGCATGTGTGGTGGCATGGCATGCATGTGTGGTGGCATGGCATGCATGTGTGGTGGCATGGCATGCATGTGTGGTGGCATGGCATGCATGTGTGGTGGCATGGCATGCATGTGTGGTGGCATGGCATGCATGTGTGGTGGCATGGCATGCATGTGTGGTGGCATGGCATGCATGTGTGGTGGCATGGCATGCATGTGTGGTGGCATGGCATGCATGTGTGGTGGCATGGCATGCATGTGTGGTGGCATGGCATGCATGTGTGGTGGCATGGCATGCATGTGTGGTGGCATGGCATGCATGTGTGGTGGCATGGCATGCATGTGTGGTGGCATGGCATGCATGTGTGGTGGCATGGCATGCATGTGTGGTGGCATGGCATGCATGTGTGGTGGCATGGCATGCATGTGTGGTGGCATGGCATGCATGTGTGGTGGCATGGCATGCATGTGTGGTGGCATGGCATGCATGTGTGGTGGCATGGCATGCATGTGTGGTGGCATGGCATGCATGTGTGGTGGCATGGCATGCATGTGTGGTGGCATGGCATGCCATGTGTGGTGGCATGGCATGCATGTGTGGTGGCATGGCATGCATGTGTGGTGGCATGGCATGCATGTGTGGTGGCATGGCATGCATGTGTGGTGGCATGGCATGCATGTGTGGTGGCATGGCATGCATGTGTGGTGGCATGGCATGCATGTGTGGTGGCATGGCATGCATGTGTGGTGGCATGGCATGCATGTGTGGTGGCATGGCATGCATGTGTGGTGGCATGGCATGCATGTGTGGTGGCATGGCATGCATGTGTGGTGGCATGGCATGCATGTGTGGTGGCATGGCATGCATGTGTGGTGGCATGGCATGCATGTGTGGTGGCATGGCATGCATGTGTGGTGGCATGGCATGCATGTGTGGTGGCATGGCATGCATGTGTGGTGGCATGGCATGCATGTGTGGTGGCATGGGCATGCATGTGTGGTGGCATGGCATGCATGTGTGGTGGCATGGCATGCATGTGTGGTGGCATGGCATGCATGTGTGGTGGCATGGCATGCATGTGTGGTGGCATGGCATGCATGTGTGGTGGCATGGCATGCATGTGTGGTGGCATGGCATGCATGTGTGGTGGCATGGCATGCATGTGTGGTGGCCATGGCATGCATGTGTGGTGGCATGGCATGCATGTGTGGTGGCATGGCATGCATGTGTGGTGGCATGGCATGCATGTGTGGTGGCATGGCATGCATGTGTGGTGGCATGGCATGCATGTGTGGTGGCATGGCATGCATGTGTGGTGGCATGGCATGCATGTGTGGTGGCATGGCATGCATGTGTGGTGGCATGGCATGCATGTGTGGTGGCATGGCATGCATGTGTGGTGGCATGGCATGCATGTGTGGTGGCATGGCATGCATGTGTGGTGGCATGGCATGCATGTGTGGTGGCATGGCATGCATGTGTGGTGGCATGGCATGCATGTGTGGTGGCATGGCATGCATGTGTGGTGGCATGGCATGCATGTGTGGTGGCATGGCATGCATGTGTGGTGGCATGGCATGCATGTGTGGTGGCATGGCATGCATGTGTGGTGGCATGGCATGCATGTGTGGTGGCATGGCATGCATGTGTGGTGGCATGGCATGCATGTGTGGTGGGCATGGCATGCATGTGTGGTGGCATGGCATGCATGTGTGGTGGCATGGCATGCATGTGTGGTGGCATGGCATGCATTGTGTGGTGGCATGGCATGCATGTGTGGTGGCATGGCATGCATGTGTGGTGGCATGGCATGCATGTGTGGTGGCATGGCATGCATGTGTGGTGGCATGGCATGCATGTGTGGTGGCATGGCATGCATGTGTGGTGGCATGGCATGCATGTGTGGTGGCATGGCATGGCATGTGTGGTGCATGGCATGCATGTGTGGTGGCATGGCATGCATGTGTGGTGGCATGGCATGCATGTGTGGTGGCATGGCATGCATGTGTGGTGGCATGGCATGCATGTGTGGTGGCATGGCATGCATGTGTGGTGGCATGGCATGCATTGTGTGGTGGCATGGCATGCATGTGTGGTGGCATGGCATGCATGTGTGGTGGCATGGCATGCATGTGTGGTGGCATGGCATGCATGTGTGGTGGCATGCATGCATGTGTGGTGGCATGGCATGCATGTGTGGTGGCATGGCATGCATGTGTGGTGGCATGGCATGCATGTGTGGTGGCATGGCATGCATGTGTGGTGGCATGGCATGCATGTGTGGTGGCATGGCATGCATGTGTTGTGGCATGGCATGGCATGCATGTGTGGTGGCATGGCATGCATGTGTGGTGGCATGGCATGCATGTGTGGTGGCATGGCATGCATGTGTGGTGGCATGGCATGCATGTGTGGTGCATGGCATGCATGTGTGGTGGCATGGCATGCATGTGTGGTGGCATGGCATGCATGTGTGGTGGCATGGCATGCATGTGTGGTGGCATGGCATGCATGTGTGGTGGCCATGGCATGCATGTGTGGTGGCATGGCATGCATGTGTGGTGGCATGGCATGCATGTGTGGTGGCATGGCATGCATGTGTGGTGGCATGGCATGCATGTGTGGTGGCATGGCATGCATGTGTGGTGGCATGGCATGCATGTGTGGTGGCATGGCATGCATGTGTGGTGGCATGGCATGCATGTGTGGTGGCATGGCATGCATGTGTGGTGGCATGGCATGCATGTGTGGTGGCATGGCATGCATGTGTGGTGGCATGGCATGCATGTGTGGTGGCATGGCATGCATGTGTGGTGGCATGGCATGCATGTGTGGTGGCATGGCATGCATGTGTGGTGGCATGGCATGCATGTGTGGTGGCATGGCATGCATGTGTGGTGGCATGGCATGCATGTGTGGTGGCATGGCATGCATGTGTGGTGGCATGGCATGCATGTGTGGTGGCATGGCATGCATGTGTGGTGGCATGGCATGCATGTGTGGTGGCATGGCATGCATGTGTGGTGGCATGGCATGCATGTGTGGTGGCATGGCATGCATGTGTGGTGGCATGGCATGCATGTGTGGTGGCATGGCATGCATGTGTGGTGGCATGGCATGCATGTGTGGTGGCATGGCATGCATGTGTGGTGGCATGGCATGCATGTGTGGTGGCATGGCATGCATGTGTGGTGGCATGGCATGCATGTGTGGTGGCATGGCATGCATGTGTGGTGGCATGGCATGCATGTGTGGTGGCATGGCATGCATGTGTGGTGGCATGGCATGCATGTGTGGTGGCATGGCATGCATGTGTGGTGGCATGGCATGCATGTGTGGTGGCATGGCATGCATGTGTGGTGGCATGGCATGCATGTGTGGTGGCATGGCATGCATGTGTGGTGGCATGGCATGCATGTGTGGTGGCATGGCATGCATGTGTGGTGGCATGGCATGCATGTGTGGTGGCATGGCATGCATGTGTGGTGGCATGGCATGCATGTGTGGTGGCATGGCATGCATGTGTGGTGGCATGGCATGCATGTGTGGTGGCATGGCATGCATGTGTGGTGGCATGGCATGCATGTGTGGTGGCATGGCATGCATGTGTGGTGGCATGGCATGCATGTGTGGTGGCATGGCATGCATGTGTGGTGGCATGGCATGCATGTGTGGTGGCATGGCATGCATGTGTGGTGGCATGGCATGCATGTGTGGTGGCATGGCATGCATGTGTGGTGGCATGGCATGCATGTGTGGTGGCATGGCATGCATGTGTGGTGGCATGGCATGCATGTGTGGTGGCATGGCATGCATGTGTGGTGGCATGGCATGCATGTGTGGTGGCATGGCATGCATGTGTGGTGGCATGGCATGCATGTGTGGTGGCATGGCATGCATGTGTGGTGGCATGGCATGCATGTTGTGGTGGCATGGCATGCATGTGTGGTGGCATGGCATGCATGTGTGGTGGCATGGCATGCATGTGTGGTGGCATGGCATGCATGTGTGGTGGCATGGCATGCATGTGTGGTGGCATGGCATGCATGTGTGGTGGCATGGCATGCATGTGTGGTGGCATGGCATGCATGTGTGGTGGCATGGCATGCATGTGTGGTGGCATGGCATGCATGTGTGGTGGCATGGCATGCATGTGTGGTGGCATGGCATGCATGTGTGGTGGCATGGCATGCATGTGTGGTGGCATGGCATGCATGTGTGGTGGCATGGCATGCATGTGTGGTGGCATGGCATGCATTGTGTGGTGGCATGGCAATGCATGTGTGGTGGACATGGCATGCATGTGTGGTGGCATGGCATGCATGTGTGGTGGCATGGCATGCATGTGTGGTGGCATGGCATGCATGTGTGGTGGCATGGCATGCATGTGTGGTGGCATGGCATGCATGTGTGGTGGCATGGCATGCATGTGTGGTGGCATGGCATGCATGTGTGGTGGCATGGCATGCATGTGTGGTGGCATGGCATGCATGTGTGGTGGCATGGCATGCATGTGTGGTGGCATGGCATGCATGTGTGGTGGCATGGCATGCATGTGTGGTGGCATGGCATGCATGTGTGGTGGCATGGCATGCATGTGTGGTGGCATGGCATGCATGTGTGGTGGCATGGCATGCATGTGTGGTGGCATGGCATGCATGTGTGGTGGCATGGCATGCATGTGTGGTGGCATGGCATGCATGTGTGGTGGCATGGCATGCATGTGTGGTGGCATGGCATGCATGTGTGGTGGCATGGCATGCATGTGTGGTGGCATGGCATGCATGTGTGGTGGCATGGCATGCATGTGTGGTGGCATGGCATGCATGTGTGGTGGCATGGCATGCATGTGTGGGTGGCATGGCATGCATGTGTGGTGGCATGGCATGCATGTGTGGTGGCATGGCATGCATGTGTGGTGGCATGGCATGCATGTGTGGTGGCATGGCATGCATGTGTGGTGGCATGGCATGCATGTGTGGTGGCATGGCATGCATGTGTGGTGGCATGGCATGCATGTGTGGTGGCATGGCATGCATGTGTGGTGGCATGGCATGCATGTGTGGTGGCATGGCATGCATGTGTGGTGGCATGGCATGCATGTGTGGTGGCATGGCATGCATGTGTGGTGGCATGGCATGCATGTGTGGTGGCATGGCATGCATGTGTGGTGGCATGGCATGCATGTGTGGTGGCATGGCATGCATGTGTGGTGGCATTGGCATGCATGTGTGGTGGCATGGCATGCATGTGTGGTGGCATGGCATGCATGTGTGGTGGCATGGCATGCATGTGTGGTGGCATGGCATGCATGTGTGGTGGCATGGCATGCATGTGTGGTGGCATGGCATGCATGTGTGGTGGCATGGCATGCATGTGTGGTGGCATGGCATGCATGTGTGGTGGCATGGCATGCATGTGTGGTGGCATGGCATGCATGTGTGGTGGCATGGCATGCATGTGTGGTGGCATGGCATGCATGTGTGGTGGCATGGCATGCATGTGTGGTGGCATGGCATGCATGTGTGGTGGCATGGCATGCATGTGTGGTGGCATGGCATGCATGTGTGGTGGCATGGCATGCATGTGTGGTGGCATGGCATGCATGTGTGGTGGCATGGCATGCATGTGTGGTGGCATGGCATGCATGTGTGGTGGCATGGCATGCATGTGTGGTGGCATGGCATGCATGTGTGGTGGCATGGCATGCATGTGTGGTGGCATGGCATGCATGTGTGGTGGCATGGCATGCATGTGTGGTGGCATGGCATGCATGTGTGGTGGCATGGCATGCATGTGTGGTGGCATGGCATGCATGTGTGGTGGCATGGCATGCATGTGTGCTGGTGGTGGCATGGCATGCATGTGTGGTGGCATGGCATGCATGTGTGGTGGCATGGCATGCATGTGTGGTGGCATGGCATGCATGTGTGGTGGCATGGCATGCATGTGTGGTGGCATGGCATGCATGTGTGGTGGCATGGCATGCATGTGTGGTGGCATGGCATGCATGTGTGGTGGCATGGCATGCATGTGTGGTGGCATGGCATGCATGTGTGGTGGCATGGCATGCATGTGTGGTGGCATGGCATGCATGTGTGGTGGCATGGCATGCATGTGTGGTGGCATGGCATGCATGTGTGGTGGCATGGCATGCATGTGTGGTGGCATGGCATGCATGTGTGGTGGCATGGCAATGCATGTGTGGTGGCATGGCATGCATGTGTGGTGGCATGGCATGCATGTGTGGTGGCATGGCATGCATGTGTGGTGGCATGGCATGCATGTGTGGTGGCATGGCATGCATGTGTGGTGGCATGGCATGCATGTGTGGGTGGCATGGCATGCATGTGTGGTGGCATGGCATGCATGTGTGGTGGCATGGCATGCATGTGTGGTGGCATGGCATGCATGTGTGGTGGCATGGCATGCATGTGTGGTGGCATGGCATGCATGTGTGGTGGCATGGCATGCATGTGTGGTGGCATGGCATGCATGTGTGGGTGGCATGGCATGCATGTGTGGTGGCATGGCATGCATGTGTGGTGGAATGGCATGCCATGTGTGGTGGCATGGCATGCATGTGTGGTGGCATGGCATGCATGTGTGGTGGCATGGCATGCATGTGTGGTGGCATGGCATGCATGTGTGGCTGCATGGCATGCATGTGTGGTGGCATGGCATGCATGTGTGGTGGCATGGCATGCATGTGTGGTGGCATGGCATGCATGTGTGGTGGCATGGCATGCATGTGTGGTGGCATGGCATGCATGTGTGGTGGCATGGCATGCATGTGTGGTGGCATGGCATGCATGTGTGGTGGCATGGCATGCATGTGTGGTGGCATGGCATGCATGTGTGGTGGCATGGCATGCATGTGTGGTGGCATGGCATGGCATGCATGTGTGGTGGCATGGCATGCATGTGTGGTGGCATGGCATGCATGTGTGGTGGCATGGCATGCATGTGTGGTGGCATGGCATGCATGTGTGGTGGCATGGCATGCATGTGTGGTGGCATGGCATGCATGTGTGGTGGCATGGCATGCATGTGTGGTGGCATGGCAATGCATGTGTGGTGGCATGGCATGCATGTGTGGTGGCATGGCATGCATGTGTGGTGGCATGGCATGCATGTGTGGTGGCATGGCATGCATGTGTGGTGGCATGGCATGCATGTGTGGTGGCATGGCATGCATGTGTGGTGGCATGGCATGCATGTGTGGTGGCATGGCATGCATGTGTGGTGGCATGGCATGCATGTGTGGTGGCATGGCATGCATGTGTGGTGGGCATGGGCATGCATGTGTGGTGGCATGGCATGCATGTGTGGTGGCATGGCATGCATGTGTGGTGGCATGGCATGCATGTGTGGTGGCATGGCATGCATGTGTGGTGGCATGGCATGCATGTGTGGTGGCATGGCATGCATGTGTGGTGGCATGGCATGCATGTGTGGTGGCATGGCATGCATGTGTGGTGGCATGGCATGCATGTGTGGTGGCATGGCATGCATGTGTGGTGGCATGGCATGCATGTGTGGTGGCATGGCATGCATGTGTGGTGGCATGGCATGCATGTGTGGTGGCATGGCATGCATGTGTGGTGGCATGGCATGCATGTGTGGTGGCATGGCATGCATGTGTGGTGGCATGGCATGCATGTGTTCCGGGATGTGTGTGTGCTGGGTTGAGTGGTGTATTGGGTGCGCTGCCATGCATGTGTGCGGGATGCATGCATGCATGCGGTGTGCAGGACATAGTGGAAGCCAAGGAGTATCTCTCAAAGCACGGCCTGCAATAGCCCCTCCCACCCCGTGCTCCTTGCACCTCACTGCACACCACAGCATCCCTTGTGAGCACCCACCCAGGCACTCACTGCCGCACATCTTGCGGCCTCCGAAGCCATCCCTTGTGTTCATGCGAGGGCAGATCGGGGCACACATCATTATGACACCTGCACTGATTCCCATGTACCGTACCTGCCGTATTCTTATGAGCCCAGAAAGTGTTTCAGGAGCCACATTTCAACAATGCTTTTCTCTGACTACTGCCTCTCCAACTAACCACATGTCCTTCTAGGCCTGTGTTGCTCGTCTTGCACCCACCCACTTTGCTCTATCGAGCGCTAGAGAGAACGAGCTTGGGGCGAGTCTTGAAGATGAGCTTGCAGCGAATCACCCCCGCCACTCTGTACCCCACTCTCGCCTCCTTCTCCCCTCCCCCTCCCGCACCCCCCTGCCCTGCTGTGCCCTCACCATCCCCGCCCTCCTGCCTTCCACCCTCCACATCCATCCCATCCGCCCCCACCCGCCCGCCTCCTGCCCCTCTCTCTGCCTCGGCCATTGCTGCTGCTCTCTGCCCCCGATGCGGTGGCAGTGGCGTGGCAGTCTTGCGCAGCAACACGAGCGGCTTGGGCAGTGTTGCCATGGCGCCCTCCAACTGGTGGTGCCCCACCGTTAACCGCACTGCGCCCTGTGCCACACACACACACACACAGGCACACAGGCATGCATGCAAGACAGGCAGTGCGCCATGAGAAGCAGAGGTGACATGCCTTGCCCCACACCCTCTTATGCTACCCGCCCCGCCACGAACGAAAGACAGCCATACTCTAGCGTCCACCACACGGCATATCACCTCGTATCGCCCCATACCACGCCATACCATGCCACCAACAGCAGCACACCACACGGCATATCACCTCGTATCGCCCCATACCACGCCATACCATGCCACCAACAACAGCACACCACACCCTGCCACATCTCCCCACATCCGCCCTCCTGCTTCCCCTCCGCGCCCATCCACCCCTTGCTCTACCTCACGCGCCTACCTCCCCTTCCCACCTGGCGAGGGCACGTCAGCATGCCAATTGGAGTGCACCCCTCCTCCCACGCGCGCCCTGCGTCACAGGCACCCGCGCCGCTGCCCTCCGCGGTGCCAGGCACGGATTTCTCGAGACCGTTTCCCCCGTCGTTTCCGCGCAACGCGGAGGCGGGCAGCGCGGAGGCGAGCGCGGGCAGGTCGGCGCGCAGCTCGCCCTGCAGCTCCACCAGCGCCCACTGTGGGCACTGCGAGCCCTCCTCCGACTCGCACGTCACCCGTATGATCATCGCGCCCGCTCGTAGGGGTTCACGCAAACGTGGCGGTTCTTGGCCTGATAACGATCGACTGAACGCGGCGGAAAAAGCTATGATAGGCGAAAGCTGCGTTGGGCGAAAAACTGCGAGGAATGGAACGAATTCCTGACAGCGGCAAAATGTGTAGACCGAATTTTGGATGCATGGGATTGGGGTGAGGACGGTTGCAAAAGTTTGTAACCAGAGGTTTGCGAACTGAGAATTTTCATTTTCGCGAGTTGGTTTTGTTGCCCAACACCCGTCCAAGCCAGCTCATGCATTCCTCAACTTCGATTCATCTCTCCATCTGCCGCTATTCCCATTCGCTATCCACTCCTCGCCACGCGTTCCCTCTTTCCCATCGCCAGCCCGCCATGGATCCCGCACCGCCGGTTCGGCCGCAGGTCGTGCGCGGGCGCAACGCGCTGGTTGGCGCGGCGCTGGTGGCGTTCGTGGGCGGCGTGTACGCTTACACTATGCGCGCCGTGGGCGGCTCCGACGACATCGGCGACGCCGTGCGACGACTGGAGAAGGAGCATGCGACGAATGCGACAAAGGCGACGTAGACTAGAAGTGCCAATCGCGAAACGGGTGGCGAGCGGTGAAAGTGTGGGTGCGCGCGACGAACTCGAAATGTGCAGTGCAGGACAGCGGGGTGATTGAGGCCACCATCCGCTCGCCTTCCCATCCGCTGGGCGCGGAGGGGAGGGAGGGGGCGAAGCGTGGGTGTTGCGATCCGCAGAATGCATGTGCGCTACGCAGTGATGCGGGCAGACATCACAGGCTCGCCTCCCCTCATGGTGTGCCGTGCGCGCGAAGCCACCTAGCTGCCCCCTTAGCTGGGTCCAGTAGCTGTGGTGTGGCGCTAGGACAGCATGTGGCATGGTGGCGCCACGGGTTCATGGGGCATGGGTGTTGTAAGCTCATGATTGACTTGAGTGGCATGGTATTAAGTTCAAATAATGATCATAAACTAGTTAATTCCACCAACCGCATGGGAGCTCTATGCACCTAATAAGAAGATAGTGCATCAGGTTCTGAAGGGTCAAGGTATGGCAGGCTTGCGAGATGCACCCCTGCATCAGTCGCCTGGAAGGCTGTCACCCCTGGCGGTGCAGTGCAAGGCAACGGGGTATACATGCACGGGGTTGGTCGTGCTGTGTGTGTGCCATTCTCGAGCACTTGCTCTTGCATATTTGAAGCGAGTTGCAACTTAAAGCGGTGCAGCGGGCAGCAGGGCAGGGCAGGGCGGGGGTCAGCGCTGGCGGTGGGAGGCGATGAGGTTTTTGAGGACGTGGTTGGGGGTGAGGCTGGAGTGGGCGAGGGGCTGCCCCGTGGCGGGGGAGAGCGTGCACGACGCCATCCACCGCTCCATGTGCTCCCTCTCGTACGTGAACCCGTCCGCTGCCACCACTGGCTCCCGCATCACCTCCTGAAAAGGCCAGAAGAGAGAGAAGGGAGCGCGGGGGAGGGGGTAAAATGAAAGGGGAGTGGGTGGAGGGGAGGTGCAGAGTGGGAGGGGAGAGGAGGAGCTGCGAGTCCCAGCGGCTTGGAAGGAAAAGGGCCTGGATAGAGAGCACGGTACCTTGGAGATGGGGCAGAGGAACTGCTCATCCATCTGCTGCTTGCGCTGCTTCACCTCCGCCTCTGCCTCGGCCGCCACTCTCACCAGCAGCGGGTGGATCTCCCCCACCAGCTCCGGCCGCTTCGCCCGCCGCCGCTCCGCGCAGCGCAGCGCCACGCCCACCACCTGCTCCACCAGATCCGCACGCCACTCGCCGCCCGCCGTGTCCAGATACCGCATCACCACTGCCACCGCCGCCCGACTCGCGCCGTCGGGCCCCACGTCCCCCGGGCGCGCACGGCCCTTGGTGGCGGCCTCGGCGAGCATGCGGTGCACGGCCTTGACGCTCCTCTGCCCCGTGAGCAGCTGCAGCAGGATGAGCCCCAGCGCGTACACGTCGGACAGCACGCTGATCTCACACGTCTCCACCTCCTCAGGGTCGATGTATCCCGCCGTGCCGCGCACCTTCATGGTGGTGGCCCCGTCCGCCTCCAGCAGCCGCGCCAGCCCCACGTCGCCGATCTTGCTCGCCAGGTGCCCGTCCAGCAGGATGTTGTCGGGCTTTAAGTCGCGGTGCACGATGGGCGGGTCGTTCTGGTGCAGGTACAGCAGCGCTGACGACATCTCCGCTGCGATGCGCAGCCGGTCCGCCCAGCTCAGCGGCACCGCCGCCGACCCCTTGGGCGGGCCGAGCTTGTCCTGTAGCGTGCCGCCCGGGAGGAACTCGTAGACGAGAGCCATCTCGTCGGTGCAGCAGCCCATGAGCAGCACGATGTTGGGGTGGCGCATGCGGCTCAGCACCTCCACCTCCACGCGGAACTCGTCGGGCCCCTGCCACCCCTGCCCCTCCAGCCGTTTCACAGCCACCTTGCACCCCAGCATCTCGCCTTTGAACACCTGCCCGAACGACCCACGCCCCAGAAGGTTCTCCTTGGCATAGCCCCCCGTGGCGCGCGCCAGCTGCTGCGCCGTGAACTGCCGGCAGTCAAACCCGTCGCCGCCTGCCCCGCCGCCGCCCGCGCCCAGCTGGCCGCTGCTGTAGGCGGCGCGGCCGAACGAGGCGCCGTGGGAGTGCGCGTGCAGCGGGCCGTGCGACGCGGCTGCCAGCAGCGGCCCCTGCGACTGCCCGTGCTGCTGCGCCATCGCCGTCAAGTGCTGGAAGCGCGAGGGCGGCCGGTTCTGGGAAGCTTCCGAGGACTCAAAGCTGTCGAGAGGCGGGAAGGTGTCGGTGCTGGCGATGCTGCTGCCTGCCATGAGTCCCCCCGACCCCGGTATGCTGCCCGACTGAGGCAGACTGCCTGACTGGTAACCGCCACTCTGAGGGAGACCACCGGACTGCACCAGCGCCAGTGAGGAGGGCAGCGCTGGCGTGCTGTCGGGCGTGCGGGCGCTGGGCGTCTGCGGTGTTTGGGGGGGGGAGGGCAGAGAGGGATAAGTGGGGAGAGGTATGGCGTGGTGTGGTGTGAAGGAATGTTGAAGTGGGAAAGAACCAATGCCACGACACGGAGCACATGGCATGTACCCACTCTACCCCACTTTGCCCATCCAACGCCCCAGCATGCGTACCCCGTTGCGTCCACCGGCCCAAGCAGCAGCCTCGGCATCACTGCCCGCGCTGCTGCCCGCCCCGCGGTTGCTGCTCACAGCGCGCCCCCGCCAGCTCTCACTCGACCCCTTGCGCTCGCCCCCCTCCCCCCCCTCGTCCTCCGCTGCCAGCGCCGCCAGCTCATCCGCCAGGGACCGCCCATGGCCCACCTCCTCGCCCTCCCCATCTCCCTCCCCCTCCTCGCCTTCCGCGCCTCCCCCGTGCTCCTCCCCCTCCTCCTCTCTCAGCGCCACCAGCGTCTCGTAGCTCCGCACGCGCGATAACGACCCCCCGCCCCTCCGCGCGCCCGCTGCGCCTCCCCCTGCTGCTGAGTTCGTCACTGGTGCAGGTGGCGCGGCTGCAGCGGGGGCGGCGAGGGCGCGCACGTCGAAGGAGGGGCGGCGGGGGGGCAGCAGGCGGCGCTCCATGGACGTGGCGGGGGAGCTGCCCGTGCTGCTCGGGGCCGTCCCCGCGTCCCCCTGCGCGCCTGCCGCAGCCGCCACGGCAGCCGCGGCGGCGGAGGAGGTGGGCGCGGAGAGAATGCGCGGGAAATGGCGCTGCTGCGACGCGGGGGATGCCAGGTCGGGGGACAGGGCGAATGGCGCAGTGCCCGCGACGGTTGCGCGCGTTCCCCCAGCAGGGGAGCGGGGGGGCTTGAAGCCGGGGCCGATGGGCGACATGGCGTGGCCTTGCGACAGCGACCCTGGTGACACAGGGTAGTCGCAGTCCTGCGACAGACTCAACCCCGCGCGCATGCCCGTGCCCATGCCCATACCCGCGCCCATTCCCATGCCCGGTGCGCCATGCGCGGAGCCCTGGCTGGTGGGGGACGCGCTGGGCGCGGAGCCGGTGCCAGCGGCGTGTGGCGCGGGGAGCGGGCTGCCGCGGAGCTGCTGCTGAATGCGCTGCTGCAGCGCCACCACCTGCTGCAGCTGCCGCTCCAACTCCGCCCGACTCGCCCCTTCTCCCCCCTGCGCCGCCTGCGCGCTCAGCTCCTGCAGCTGCTGCGCCAGCAGCCCCGAGTCCGCGTCCTCCCCGCCCCCGCACGACGCTGACCTATGCCCGCGCGCGTGCGCCCCCCACCCGTCCCTTTGTCTGCTCTCCTCCGCGTTCCCCGGCGCCTCTCTTCCCGCCCCCACCTGCTGCTGCGCGGCTTCCATCTGGCCCTGCGCGGAGGAGGGGAAGCGCGCGGAGGCGGAGGAGATCGACGAGGGGGAGGCGAGCGCGGCGTCGGGGGCTTGCAGGGGGAGCGACGTGGAGGAGAACGAGGGGGTGATGCCGCGCGCCGGCTGTTGCACAGCCACGGAGGGTGGGGAAGCGGAAGGGGCGGCGGGGGGCGGCGTGGCGGAGGAAGGCGCGGAGGCGGAGGAGGGGAAGGTGTAAAACGGGGGGGGGATGGGGTGGGCCGAGTGCGCCTTCCCCGCGGCGTGAAGGCGCTGCAGTCGCGAGCCGCCCTGCGCAATGAAGAGGCGGCAGGAAGGCGGCAGACTTGCCTGGCACTGCGCGACGGTCGCCGACGCCGACCACCCCAGCAGCCTCCTGCCACACGGGGCGCACGGGGGAGGGGCAGGGGGCGAAGAGTGAGCGAGGGAGTCGAGAGCGTCAAAGGAATGCTTGAGTTCTCTCAGAATTGTACGGAGCGAGGTAAACCCCCGCTATGTGCCATCTCAGCATTCCTTGGCCCGCGACCTCTTCTTCCCCCCTCCCCTTCCCCCCCTTTTTTCCCCCTTCCCCCCCCCCCCCCCCCCGCTTCCCCTCGATCTCCGCGTACTCACTTCTTCGCGCCCATGTAGACGCGATCCGCAGCTGCGCGCCTGGCGGCGTCGACGAGGCCGTCGTGGCGCGAGTCGTTGAGCTCCAGCACCGCGGAACACGGCGCCTGATGTGGGTGCAGGGAGGGAAGGGACAAGGGATATGAGAGGGTGAGGGATGGCGAGAGGACGATAGGGAGCGCAGAGATGAGACGAGGCGGACCAAGTGGAATACCTATAAAAATTCTCAGAAACGAACTGGTTAAGGGAATGTGAGGCATGTGAGGGCACGCAGGTGGGAGCATGGGAGTGTAAGGCATCACTGCCCGTCAATGGACATGACCGCTGGAGTACATGCGGCATGCAGGCGGGACGCACATTGGCGGCGCGGACGAGCGCGAGGAGCGGCTCGAGGAGCACGTCGACGAGCTTCTTCGCGTGCTCCGTCGCCGCCTTGCCGTCCGCCTCGCTCGCCGCCACCGTCCGGTTGCCTGCACTCGCCGACGCGCGGACAGAGATGTGCGGAGAGAGCGTGGGGACAATGGGGAAATAGACGGGGAGTCGGGGGTGAATTGTGAGGGCGATTGGGAAATAGCAATGGAGGTCGTGCCGAAACGGGTTGGCTACAGAGGTCGAACGGTGGGATGACAAGGGGAGATCATGAAGCTCACGTCCGCAGGGGACCTCGGTGATGACGTGGACGAGCAGAATGCTGGCGGGCTCAGCGGCGACGTGCTCGACGGCCGCCATCACCGCGTCTCTGCTCGGCTCGCGTTGCCGCGACACCTCCACCACCCACGTCGGCAGCGCGCGAGTGAGCGCCATCGGCGTAGCGGGTCCTCCGCTGTCGCCCATCGGCATGGCGCGGATCGCAGAGTTTCGTTTCTTATTTCAACATCCGCGGATGGAATTAAGGCGGTAATGATCGAGATAAATGACACCTGTAATCGGAATGCGATCAAGCGCCTACTTTATACGCTCGTGGGTGCCAACAAAAGACAAGCAACGGCGTTCCGAAGACACTATAGGGGCAGCTAGCTCAGTGGTAGGCCCGTACAGCTACGAGGAGCAAATGGGTCGTGGTAGAGCGTCTAGTCAATGCAGTGACAGCAGTGTGGAGATTGGGGACAGCCGAACGGGAGTTGTAAAATGAAGAACCCTGAACTGCGCAGCCATGGAATGGATATGCAAGCTGAAGCTGGTTGTGCTGCTGTGCCATCCTGTAGTGCCGTGTGGAATGAAGCGGGGCGTTGTGGGGAGGGGGAGGAAGAGGACAGGCGGAGCGGGTGGTGGTGGTTGTGGCTGGAGGTCGGTCGGTGGCGGTGTTGCGCGCGCGCGGGGGGGCACTCTATGGGTGGTGGAGCGGAGGGAGGGGATAGCTGGCTGCGGGTGGCGGGCACAAGCTGGTCTCAGTGGTCGCCAACCACGAGGGAATGACAGCCAGTCGTGATAGGGGCACGATGTGGGAAGAATCATCGCAAACTGGCTGGTAGCCTGGTATATAGATTCGGCAACATATAGCTGGCGAACAGTGAGCGATATTTGTGTGCGAAATGTCTTCAACGTAACACTCTCCAAGACATGCACATATTCGGTTGTTGTGTTATCAATCAAGCTACGAGAGAATCGTTGGAAGCTGTTGTACCGTTGGCGGGTGGTGACAATCTCTACGCGAACTTCTGTACGGAACTGTAGTTGGTAATTTGAAATGTGAAATCGAATATCTCTGTTTAATCTGGTTACATAATCCCCCCACCCCTTTTTGACAAGTGGGAATTTGGGGAAACAAAGCAAAAAACTGATTCGCAGCAGGTGCAATTCAACTTGTCCACAACCCTGGTTGCGCGGTTTCAAGGCTGGTGGCGGTGGTGTCTTCTTGCCACGTCTGATCTGATCCGAACAGAATCGCACAACTGTACGAGCCATGAAATCGATGCATCGGATTTGAGCAACCTGCTAAGACCCCATCATCATTTCCTTGCGGTCTTAGCCGCCAATCAGGTTCGCTCCCATCAACACTGCTGATCATAGATGATTGTGAAATTGCAGAGCGAGACAAGCAAAGAAACCGCTCCAAAAACAAATTCAACAAAACCTATAGAGGAACCAGTGTAGCTATAGCTGGTCTTTGGATGAGCAAACCAGCAACCATCAGGTTTTTACTGAACTGATATACTCGCATAATCTACACGGGAGCGATGAGAAACCAAGCGAACGTGCATGCGAATAGTTCCCCCACAAGCCACACAAGCGCCAAGCATGGTATTGCATGTATGAAACTGTTGTAAGAGGGATAAAGGGTGTGTGTGTCTTGACTCAGAAAATTGAGCGTCGGAAGAGTGCTTATGATGACATAGACACGATGGGTGAAGGACAGCCAAAAGATGATGGGAGTTGCTTATGAAAACATGGATAGCATGTATGAGTGATCGGCAAAGGCCATCTTGTGATGGATGACTCACCCGGGTCACTGTGGAGACGATTGATGTGATCCACCAGGGCCTGGTGGGAGGCAAACTGCCGCCCGTCAATGAACGACTCGGGCGGCGCAAAGCTGGCAATGTCTGGCGCTCCAAAGTACACCGGCACAGTCCCTGGGGATGTGTAGAAACGGGATCAATGGTGAGAACCTGGGATTTAGCAACACGGCACAGCGAGCGAGCTATTGAACTGCCATGTCACCTGCTTCAAGTGCACTGTAGAACTTCTCAGTGACATAGTTGGGGGCGCGGGTGTTCTCAATAGCGAGGTCAAACTTGTAGTGCGACTTCACACAGTGCGCCACCTCCTGCAGCTGATCACCCAAATACCTGAAGGCCAGGGGGAAGAGAGAGTGGCGGGGACAGAGGTGAGATGGGGAGAGGGAGGGGCGATGGTGGAAGAGTGAAGCATGAAACACGGGAATTCTTTACAAAAGGCTGAAGGGCTAGAGGAGTGGAAGAGAGTGGCATGGGCTCGGAAATCGATGGCCTCACGCATGCGAGCATGCAGGGTAGAGCGCTGCTTCGCGGTTGGTGCCGCCCATGTTGTTGCTGCAGGCGCCAAAGCTGTGGTGGGGCAGGCGCGGCAGCAGCGACTCCAGCAGCAGTGTGCGCCACGGCACCTCGCAGTTGGAGGAGGCGTGGTGCACCAGCACGTCCTGTCATGCGTGCCCGCAGGCAGGGGGGAGGTGGAGAGGGGAAGGAGGAAAAAGGGATATAGGCCATGGGGGAACGAAGGAGCAATTTCCGGGTTCATGGGCATAGGGGATAAGTCGGAATGATGCATGGGAGGTGAGGAATGAAGAAAGAAGGAGCATGGCACACAGGCTGGCAGGCATCTACCACACACCATGCACCACCCTGCTCACACCACAAGGCGCCGTGCCTGCAAGAACATTCATGTGCGCGCGCCCACTCACACACTTGGCGCTTCCTGTCGGCCAGCAGGTGCTGCCTGCCCGCCCTGAGGGTGCGCTCCACGTCCACATACGTCACCTGCACCGCGCTGCCCGCCCCGTACCCCACGCCCACGTCCACTCGCCCCTCCCCCTGCGCTCCTGCCAGCGCCCCGTCCGCCTCCATCTGCAGCAGCACACGTAGTGGCGAGGTGAGCGCGCGCGTGAGGGGCATGGCGTCGGGGGAGTGCACGAAGAGACGCGCGTGGGGGTTGACTGGTAGCTGAGAGGGGTTCCAGGAGAGCTGGTGGGGGGGGAGGGGGAGGGAAGCCGTGAGGAAAGAGGATGTAAGGGCAGGAGGATGGTCAGAATGAGAAGAGAGGCAGTATGCTGAAACGGGGCATTGCATAAACGAGCATCACCGCACGTGGGCTCACAACACCTGAGCTGACATCATGAACAACACAACCCTGCAAGGTTTTTTTTTGTATGGCACCTGGCAGGTGATGCTGCATCTGGTGCACACGTGGAAGCCATCCAGCCCAGTGGGCTCCAGCCAATCAGGCTGCTCCACGTGTACCACCACGTGGGAGAGGTTGAGCGACGCACATGCGGGCGAGTTCACGTCCTGAAAGCGCTCAGGCGGAGAGAGGAGGGCAGGACGGGCAGGTTGCGTAGCGCGGGAAGGTTGGGAGGGCCGGAGGGAAGAATGGGCAGAAGGGAGTGTGAGGTGGGGAAGATGAGGGGGCAGTATGGCGTTGGAGAGGGTGGCGAGGGTTGAATGGTGCGGCCATACAACGCTGGTGCGAGGAAGGGCACAGGAGGACGATGGGGGGTGGATAGCATCAAGTGGGTGAATGGAGATCTCACAGCAACGTGAAAAGACCATGGCTTGCTGATGAATCAGTGGAGTGCGAGAGGAGGGGGGATGATTGGTGCACAAGAGTAAAGGAGAAGACCTGAAGGCTGGGATTGGGGGGGAACGCTGCTGGTCCTCGCTTCGCCTGCGCGTCGTGGCCATGGGCGTCGTCGCGCGCATGCTTGCGCCTGAACTCCGCGCACCCCACTAGCTGCTGCCACAGCCTGACCGCGCGTGCGGGGCGCGGGGGAGTGCCGTGGGGGAAGGGAGGGAAGGGAGTGGGGAGGTTACGCAGGGAAGTACAGCGCGTATAAGAAGCTGCGAAGGTCGGAGCAAGCACACGTGGCATGAGTCACCTACCTCGCCGCCTCGCGCATGTCCATCCATCCATCCACCTCCACAGATACGACTTCCCCAGAAGCCGACGAATTTTGAAGCCCGTGCGGCGACGCCGTGTCACGAATCCGCTGCTTCATTCCCTTCCAGCCTTCCCCCAACCACCTCCACGCCTGCGCGCCTCGCCAGTCGGAGCCATTCCCGTCCCCCGCCGCGACCCACTCCCCGCGCGCGGGGTGGGTGAAGCGGAAGAGAAACGCTGCGCCCGACGCGACGCACGCCAGAGCCAGGCACGATGCGACCCACACGCGGCGGGTCCTGATTGGTGGAGATCTGGCACGCGCATTAGACGGAATCATGGGGGCGCGATTTGTTGACGGACGTGTCGGGGAGAGCAACGCAGTCAGGCAGCACTAAACAGTGCGAGAATTTGGCAACAAAACTAGAATGCACATTATATATCCGTCTGGGTAAGAATACCAATGTTTCGCAACGAAACCCACCTGGGTTGCTTCACACGCACATAACGGCCTCGAGCTTGTTTTTCCGTATCCAGCCGACAGAAATTGATTCGGTTCGAACTTCATTTGGCTCAAAATGTTTGTGTGATATCACGGTTCAGAACGTTACGCTTGGATACAGCGCGGTGAGCTGAAGGGAAGGTGTGAGTGTTCCCTCTTGGCCCCTGAAACTTGCGTGTGAATGAATCGGTGGCTGCACTTTAGCCACATCAGCAGGGACCTTGGAAGTCTCAAGGCCATTTCAACATCCACTCCGAAGTAAACACGGAATCCGACAATATCGATGAAGCAATGCGAAACAGTTCTCTAGCGCACCGAACGTTTCTCAATAACGAGTCACACCTCATTCTCCTCTCCCCCTCGCACCTCCACCCTTATCCACCCAACCACGTCTTGCTGTCAGCGTGTCACTTTCTGCTTCTTTCTCATCCACACGTGGCGCATTGAGGCCTTACCTGGCCCGTGTTTACCGCTCGCTCATTCTCAACATGGCGGGCCTCCTTCAGGTCGCAGCCGTCGGCATGGCGGCGACCGTCCCCGCTTCCCTTAACTCTCTCAGCAGCAGCGACCTATCTGGCAGCCGCCTCGCTGCCGTCGCGCCTTCCCGCGCTCGCGTACAATGCAACGTGACTTACGCGCCGCCGTCGACGGCGCGGCTGGAGCTGCTGCGCGAGGCGGAGGAGCGGTTCGCGCGCGTGGAGCAGCAGCCGACGAAGGGCGTGGCGTTCACGGCGCTCGAGTTCGAGGAGGCCCTCGAGAAGTACGACTTTAACTTCGACATCGGCGACAAGGTGCGACGCTGCAATGGCGATCGGTGGCGCTCAGCGACGGCACTCGCAGCGGACGCGAAGCAGGGGGCGTATCAGGGTTTATGTTGGAGGGGAACCGAAGGAAATAGCAGCGTAGCGGAATGGCGGGTCGTATGCTGGGGTTTAGGTGCGCAGTAAGTGTTAGGAGATTCTTCTAGCGCAGGTACTGCAGCACGTGTGGTCCAACCCTAATCCGGCACCGCATCACGTTCCAACGCCTTGACCTCATCGTCGTCTCTTCCCGCTCGCTCCACCTCTTCCCCCTTCTTCCACCCACTTCGCCCGCCACCGCAGGTGCGCGGAGTGGTGTTCAAGGCGGACAACGCTGGCGCGCTGATCGACATCGGCGCAAAGGCGCCCGCGCTGCTGCCGCTGGCGGAGGCGTGCCTGTTCCGGTTGAAGAACATGAGCGACACGGGGCTCGTGCCGGGCATGGAGGCGGAGTTTGTCGTTATCGATGAGGACGACTCGCAGGGCCGCATGATCGTGAGCCTGAGGAAGCTACAGTACGACCTCGCCTGGGAGCGGTGCCGCCAGCTCGTGGCCGATGACGTCACCGTCAGGGGCACTGTGAGTGATGCTGACATCAATCTGAAGGGGCTGGGAAGCGGATGAGAAAAGGCGTGAGGCTGGGGTCGGGTGGGATGCGCTGCTGGTGACTTTTAGGGTTGCCTCGATTGATGGCTTGGATGGCTCCAGCGCTGTTGCCGCTTCACGCCGAATCCACCCGTACCGTCGCATTAGTTCGCTCCCGTCCCCGACAGTCACCCTCACCCATCCGCTCGTCGCACCGCTTTTGTCTGCCCCGTCCCTCTCTTCCCCTTTCGCGCCCCTGCGTCTCGCCTCGCCATGCGTCTCTCTCCCCGCCAGGTCATCGCCGTGAACCGCGGCGGGCTGCTCGTCGAGGTGGAGGGGCTGCGAGGATTCGTGCCGCTCTCGCAGATCGGCCTGGTACGTCCGTGTCTCTGCCACGTCATGTTCTTTCTAATCACAGTGGTTCTCTCTCGGTTTCCCTGTCTCCCTCCCTCGCGCTCCCGTTTTCCTCTCACCAACCGGCACACCCCAGCGCCTCTGATCGTCATCTGCACCTTTCTTTTCCCATCCCCATCCTCCCCCTCCCGCATTCCGCTGCGCGGGCGCGGGCAGCGCGCGGCGAAGGAGGATCTGGTGGGCACGCGCATTCCGCTCAAGTTCCTCGAGGTCGACGAGGAGCGCACGCGCCTCGTGCTCTCCAACCGCCGCGCCGTCGCCGCCTCGCACGCGCAGTCGCTGCAGGTACGCCGCCCGTCGCGGCGACTGTGGCGCCAACCGTGCTTGCTACCACGCGGCTCTGCGCGTCGCGTCTATCCCACTAAAAAGCTCCTCGCGACACTCGCGCGCTTCGTTGCACCCCCGTTCATATGCCCCATGCCTTCTCTTCCGCCATCCTTCCCCGTCCCCGTGCTTCCACGTGGTCATGTCCCCCAGTCCCCTTATCCCCACGCGCTCATGCACCCCCGTCTCCGTGGCCCCACACACTACCCTACCCCCCCTTCCGCAACGGCGCGCAGGTGGGCGACGTGGTGGTGGGGCGCGTGCAGTCGCTGAAACACTGGCGCGCTTCATTGCATCCCTTTCCATCCCTCATCCCCTCGCCCCGCCATCGTCTTCCCTCATCCCTCGTCCCGTGCAGGTGGGCGACGTGGTGGTGGGGCGCGTGCAGTCGCTGAAGCACTGGCGCGCTTCATTGCATCCCTTTCCATCCCTCATCCCCTCGCCCCGCCATCGTCTTCCCTCATCCCTCGTCCCGTGCAGGTGGGCGACGTGGTGGTGGGGCGCGTGCAGTCGCTGAAGCACTGGCGCGCTTCATTGCATCCCTTTCCATCCCTCATCCCCTCGCCCCGCCATCGTCTTCCCTCATCCCTCGTCCCGTGCAGGTGGGTGACGTGGTGGTGGGGCGCGTGCAGTCGCTGAAGCCGTACGGCGCGTTCGTGGAGATCGGCGGGGTGAACGGGCTGCTGCACATCAGCCAGATCTCCCACGACCGCGTCACCAACGTCGAATCCGTGCTGGCTGAGGGCGACCAGCTCAAGGTGCGCACGTGGTGTCTGTGATTGTAGCGAGCGGCTCAAGGTGCGCGCACGCCGTGTGATTGTAGCGAGCAGCCCGCCGCGGTTGCTCGCGAGGGCGAACAGCTCAAGGTAAGACGCACGCCGTGTGTGACTGTAGCGAGGGCGACCGGCTCAATGTGGATTGTGACGTGTGAATGTAGCGAGCAGGTCAAGGTTTGTGCACAGGCGGTATGATTGTAGCAGGGTGACAGCAGGGCTGTGAGAGTGCAGTGAGCATGGCAATGTGGAGCATTGGAGATTCGTTGAGGCCATGGCGGGTGTCATGTGCAGCACAGCCCGCCCTTCATGCACCTCGCATGCCTGGCATGCCTGTCATGCCTGTCATGCCTGGCATGCCTGTCATGCCTGGCATGCCTGTCATGCCTGGCATGCCTGGCATGCCTATCATGCCTATCATGCCTGTCATGCCTGTCATGCCTATCATGCCTGTCATGGGCACTCCCTGCACCCTCCCTCCCCGTTTCCCTCCTTATCTCTCGTCTCCCCACCCCACCCCCCTCGCGCGCAGGTGATGGTGCTGAGCTTTGACAGCGAGCGGGGGCGGGTGAGTCTGTCCACCAAGAAGCTCGAGCCCACGCCCGGCGACATGCTGCGCAACCCCCAGCTCGTCTTCGATAAGGTGCGCCCCCATCTCCGCCTCCTGCTCCCCCTCTGCGCCCCTCTGCCCCCTCTGCTCCCTGTTGCTCCTTGATGCTCCCCCTTGCCCCTGTTCCTCTTGCATGCCATTCTCTCTGTTCACAGCGCTGCTCTGCCGTTTTCTTCCATCCCTCCTCCTCCATCACTCATCACTCACCAGTGCTCTCCCTTCTCCTTTTCTCCCCCCCCCCTCCCCCCCCCCCCCCCCCCCCCATCCCTCTCCCTCCCTCCCATGTGCTACGACTCCTTTCCTTGTCCTTCAACGCTTGAACCATGCCACACCACACCATGCCGCCCCACGTCCCACCGCACCGCATTGCACCGCATGGATGGGTGGTGTGGTGGCAGGCGGAGGAGATGGCAGCGACGTTCAAGGAGCGGGTGGCGGCAGCAGAGGAAGCTGCGCGGGCAGAGGAGGCGCGACTGCAGCAGGAGGTGAGGGGGGCATGAAGGGGGCGCTGGGAGCGTGAGAGGGGAGTGAGAGGGGTGTGCAAGAAAGGGAGGTTCATAATGAGAAGAACGTAGGGTAAACTGTGGGGTTAGGGCTGCCGTGTTGAGTTGAGTGCACGGGATGCCACCTGGCTTACTGGCTTGCACCCTTGCCACCTGTGGAGGTTCATTCCTCTCCTCTTCACTCACTCTCCCACCAATCAGTCTCATGTCCCTCTGGCCCCACTTTCCTCTCACTTTCCTCTCCTCTCTTCTCTTCTCTCCTCTCCTCCTCTCCTCTCCTCTCCTCTCCTCCCACTCTCCTTTCCTCTCCTTTCCTCTCTCACCTGTCCGCCTGCGCGTGGCAGGGCTTTGGATTGGATTCGACACTGGGAGCAGCAACCGGGCTGGACCCCGCCTTCCCCTCGGCCTTTTAAGCACCACTGTTGCCCCTCCCTCCATCCCTCTTGTCCACACACCATCACCACCACATTTTGGTGTCCGAACCAAATACTCATGTCTGCCTTTTCTCTTGGTTTAAAGCTGTAGAAGGACTAGGCTAGCTCTTCTGACTGTCGGTCTGTTCAGTGCTGCTTGTTGTTCCCAAGTATAAATTCCGTTTCAGTGCGTACACCACTGAACTGTATATGGTAATGCTCTTCATGTCACAGACAAGAAATGGCACTCAACTAGCTGAGACACAACATCTTGGTGCTGAAGGCCGTGATGAGTGGGGAGATTAGAATGCACATTCTCCATTTGCATGCTTTGGCAGATGACATCCGACGAAGGTTCATGCTTTGGCAATGGTGACCTTGGATAAACATGACATTGACAGCAGATGCTACCAGCACTCAAGCTCGATTTTGCTATGGACAAAGGACACGTGATGACATGACGTGACATGATATGAGCACATCAAAAGGCTTGCGTCTGCCGTGTTAGGGCCGATCTACACAGCAGTGCAGGGGCAGCGTCACAGCCACGGCCTGTGATAGTAACAGTGCTAGCTATGGCCTTGCATGCCCTCGACTCATGCATGTGGGTGCACTGACGTCAAATCACCACCTCCCACACCGACCCAGCCTCGTCCTTCCCTTCCTGTGCGCCCTCTGCTCCACCACCCTCCCCTGCTGCATGTGACGCCCCAGCCCCTGTAGGTGCAACTGCCACTGCTCTCTCTGTTACCGGTTTCTTTCCTGCTGCCGCAGCATCTGCCCCAGCCACTGCCCCTGCTGCTACCACTACAGCTGCGTTACACGCTCCACCTGCTGCTGCAACTGCAGGTGCTGCTGCGGTTTGCGACGGCGCTGCAGGCGCTGCGGGCCGTGCTGCAGCCAGATCGCCTGAGCCTGCACCTGCCGCTGTTGCCGTGGGTGCTGCTGAAGCTTCAGCTGCAGGGAGAGTGACGGACGCGTCGCGTTTCAGCTTGGGCACCCTGGGCGCCGCGTCTTCGGGCCATGGCAGGGGCGCCGCGACGCCAGGCGCGAACACGACGCCGCGCAGAATGGTGTTGGTGTTGCCGACGCGGATGGTTACAAAGTAACCCGCGTCGAACGTGCCGTCCAGCACGCCCTGCACGTTCTGCCCCACCCAACCGGGCTGCACCGCCGCGCCGTCGTCCCCGCCCGCCTGGTTGAGCCGCCGCGCCTTCAGCTGCGACTTGGTCATCCTCGCGCGCGTCACCGTCGCCGTGGGCACGAGCGCCGACGCGTTCTGCGCGGCGAGAATGGCGTCGATGTTGGAGGGGTCCGTGACGGGCATGCCGCTGTGCGCCGCCATGATCAGCGCTTGCCGCGCCAGCACGTCCGACTTGCTCGGCCTCCCTCGCTTCCGCTTGAACGCCGCCGCGATAGCCCTGTCCGCCGCCATCTGCGCCTTCGTCCTCCGCTTCCGCCGCTGACGGGGTAGCTCGTCGGCATGCGCGGCATTATAGGCTGAAATCGACGGCGCCATTCGGGAGTACATTGCGCTGAACCTGAGTCACACAAGTCGTCGAGTTAGGCGGGTATGCTGATGTCTTGCTCTACCAACAATTGTTTCGTAAAAGCAAAACAATTAGCCGCAAGCTATACTAGACTCAGCCTATGAAGGTGAAGGAAGTGTTATCTTTCGTCGGGGACGCACATATCGGGTTCATCAGCACGATTGGCTCACTGTTTGGCCAATTCCCCTTGCCCGTTTCCCTTGTGCCCACAAATAAATTTCCTTAGTAGTAAAATCCCTCAAGAGGGGGTTGACATATTTCTTTCATGTATTTCTCTGCCAGGGATTTTGTCAGTCTGCCCAAATTTTTGTGGTCCCAACTTTCATTACGATGGTTTGGTCGTTTCTGTGTGTTACCCTTTTTGGCCTCGGTCTACCTTGCCTGAATTCAATCCTCGAGCGGTGATTGGTATGCATATATATGTACGCTTTTAGGATGTTTGGCTTTTGGTCATATCCCTGCATTCTGTATGGTTTAGTTTTGTACAATAGTTAAGACCATAATATAATCTTACCTTACACAATGCATGCTACAAACAGATATTGATTGGGTCTTACAATTCTAGGAAAAGCGCACCAGTTGTGGATTCAGGTCTAACGCTGGAGATCGCCTGCATGTTGTGATAACAGGTTTAGGATAGCATTCTCGCGGAATGGTCGTGGACCCGAAATCGATCAACGTACTTGCTGTGTGTTCTGAAAACGAGTTTGTCGCGAGTGAGGGTGTTGAGCAAGAACAGGAAATAGGCTTCATGCTGTGCGAGTATGGTTCCTGTGTTGTCTCTCCATCTGACTCCAGAGCTGCACAAATAAAAACTGTTGTAAGAACATTGAAGGGCCCCTGACATAAGGACATATACCCTGTCCTCCAAACCGCACCTGTGGGGAATGCTGACTGTATGGAGGCTGCTTGCCATGGCAATATGTCATCCCAATCATCCAACAGGTAGTAATGGCAGTGGCATGGCAAACGGTGAGCCTGAGCTTGGCTTGGATTCAGAAAACGAATTTGAACGGGAACACGTCGCGGACAGTGCTTGACCCTGGCCGGAAGACACAACGGAGTGTTAGGAAGTAGAATAAAAAATAAGAAACAACGAACAGCCATACTCGAGAGGCAATTAGCACACGTCAAAACAGCGACACTCACGAGTTGAATCGCCGAGGCCTCCAGCGCGATCAAACTCTCCTGCAATTTCCGAAACCGGCTTGTTTGAGAATTAGTCTTTCTGTGAGCTTCCATAACTTCGCACATATCCTTCTTCACCTGAGAAACCAGAGCATACCGTTCAGCACACGAACTGTAACATTTGAAGCGAAAAAAATGTAATAGCTCGTGATCTCTATACCTGCTCAACAACGGAGCCGAGACGCGCAAGGCTTCTCCCAACATCTTCCTCATTTTGGCGCCTCTCATACTCAAAGAGGTCTTCGACCAAAAGGCTCTGTGTGGCAAATAGCGGCCACGTCAGACTAAGTTGAATAGCATAGAATTAATCTTCACTGTAAAATGCACCAACCTGAATCCGGGATGCACGGTTGAGAAGGTCGAACGACGTTTCTGATGATATTCCGACAAGACTCTCGCAGATGTCAGTCGCGAGCTCGCAGCACTCAACGACATCACGAAACAAGCGTCGTGGACCCGATGGACTCTTGGCTGCGAGAATGGAGGTTCTTATCAGCCAGTAATCCTTATCTGAGCGAGGACTGCAAGGTAAGCCGTCTGGCCATGATGTGTGAGAACAGTTTAAAGTTGATGCTGAAGACATATGTTCCGTCATTGCTCGAAGACCGCTATAGAAGTGACTAACGGATAAAAACGCTGGCCACGTTGTAAATGTCGATCAAATTACGCCTTTATTCTTGTTCCTTTCAATCAGCATCAGAGATGATCAGATCAGAGCAGTGTGCTGCAGTATGACAGAACAGAACTTGAGGGGAACGAGAGCGCCGAGCCAAGCGACAGCAGTGGAAGTGACTCAACAAAATTGCTAACCCAGTGAATGTCCTCCACTACTGTAGAATCATCGGAGTGGTGGTGCGGTCGTTCGACCACACCAGACGGACCAGCGTAAATTACCGACCAACCTGCGACGCGACGCCACGCCACGCCACGCGTCAAGTACCTCCGGATCAGGATCCAACCAGAGGCCAGAAATGTAACGAAATGCGGAGGACGGAATTGTTTGACAACCAATCAGCTTCTCCCACCTTGAAGATGCCGAATGGCAGCTGGGAATCGCTTCGGGGACAGACCTGAAACCAGGGCCAGCAATTTTGCTGGGAAGGTGCCTTGACCATTCGCTGGCTGGGGGGCTTCGCGTTCCCACTAAGAGAAACGTTTGAAGAAAACATGTATCCATGTGAACATTATATAGCAACCTCCAAGATAACGGGCCATAATTCATTTTGGTAACTTCTCACTCCATGTAATAATGGGACTCGGGTTTTAACCTACTCAGGCGGGCAATCATGTAATAATGCTACTCGATGTGCCATATACCTGATCACTACGCTGACTATTGCATAACTAGTCACAAGTATACAATGGGTTGATAGTCTCCGTAGTCAAAGGACAAAGATAGGCTTCTGTAACCCCCCGCTTCTGCTCTCGCCCCCACAACAAATGAAGGCTCTTCAGCTTTGGGCAACCACCACGAAGTTGAGCAAACGCCTCATGGGAAGGGAGGCCTTCAACCTCCAGGCGCAGGCGCTGCAGGCTCCTTAGCGGTAGCTCCCACTCACCTGTGGCAGGCATGGCGGCAGGGCCAAGTGCCAGTGCCTGGAGATGGTGCAGTGCCTGAGGAAGGACAGTGCATGGGAATCGCGAGAGTGAGAGGTAAGGCGCTTGGCATGACATAAGCTGGTGCTCAGATACACATGCTGCTTCGGTGGCCTTTGACGTGGGGTTAAGGCGAGGCAGGCACAAGGTGGTGTGGTGGGAGGGGTGTTGGTACCTGGAGTGGCAGGGCGTGGGCGAGGTGCATGGGCTCGTTGTGCAGTCCCTGCAGGTCCAGTGCCTGAGGGACGGGCATGGTGGGCGAGGGGTGATGGGAGGGAGGGGAATGACAGGGGGTGATGGTAGGGGAATGACGGGAGGGGAGTGGAAGGGGGGAGCATGGTGGACAGTGCATGCTGACAGTGTGACAGCACATGGTGACAGCAAGGCAGTACATGCACGTGGTGTTCCATGGTGCTGCATGGCAGCACAGAGGACGTGAGAAACAAAGGCCACAGCAGCAGCAAAGCACACACCATGAGGCGGGGGAAGGCGGAGGCGAGGGTGTGGAAGGAGGCGGGTGAGAGGGCACTGGGGCTGAGCGACAGTGCTGTGAGCGGTGCCGGGCCTGCTGATGCCAGCGCTGTCATGGCCTGCTCGGGGGCGGGGGTGTGGGGATGGGCGCAGGGGAAGGAGGGAAGGGAGTGCATAGGCCAAGGTGCCTTTTGAGTCGGAAGGAAGGGGTGTGCACAGACATAGGATGGGGAGGATATATGCAGTAGGCTCTGAAGGTGACTCTGGCAGACACGTCACACATGCATGCATGGAGCTTGTCTCACTTGTGAGAAATCTCAGAAGGGCTGACACGATATTGCCGCGCACATGCATGCAGTGCCACTGGGTCCACTCCTTGCCTCTGCAGAACTGCGCACTCTCGGCTTCAGAGGGAGACGGTTCATGGTTCTAGAGTGCAGAGTGCAGAGTGCAGAGTGCAGTGCAGGGCCGACCTGGTGGGTGAAGCAGGAGTGCGTGCTCCACAAGGCGTCTGCCTTCACCGACTGCCCAAAGAAGCTGCGGTGGGGATGGCGAGACGTGAGGGGGAGTTGCCGAGTGAAGTGCGCAAGGCAAGACATGAGATAATTGCGTGATTACAGAAAGGAGGGGGAGGTGGAGAAGGGGAGGTGGTAGGGGGAGGTGGGGGAGAGGAGGCTGTGGAAGGGGGGCGGGGAGCCGTTGAAAGTTGCGCCCATGCACACGTGCTGCACGCGGAGCGCCTGCAAGTGCGGACACGCGCGCAGAACCCGCCTGTGAGGGGTGGGGTGGGGGTGAGACAGGAGCGGGGATGAGATTTTGGGAGGAGGGAGCAGGGAGGAGGAAAATGAAGAAATAGCAACGAAATTGTCACTTTCCACTCTCCCACCCTTATTCCCTCCACCCGCACCGCACACACGTCACTCACTGCAGTGTGTCATCCGTGATTCGCGGGGAGCGCAGGTCCACGTCACCCAGGAACCTGAAACGGACAAGCAACGGAATCGTGATCCGCTGAGTTTCATCGCCTCACTGCCTTTATCACAAGGCCAACTCTTCAAAAGGTCACCACACCGCACCCCGTTTACCCCACCTGCCGTGATTCACGGCCTGCGTGACCTAGTCTTCGAACGCAATGAGCTCGCCCTCCCTCGCCGCAACCGGCGATGGCGTGCGCGGCGACGACCACGCTCCTCCTCTCCCCCAGTTGCGCCCCTCCGCGCCGTCCCCCCGCCTGCTGGTAATCGCGGCTTCGGGCGTCGCGGGCGCAGCGCCACTGGTGCGGCTAGAGAGGGAGGTATTCCCCGGGTCACCCGCGGCCGCCAATGCTCTCAAGGGGTTTGGGCAGATGGTGTTTCTAGCCCGGTGGAGGCTTTCCGGCGTGCGCAGTGGAGGAAAGGGGAGAAGGCGGTGGGGTTGAGCCAGAGCTCCGGGGGAGGCGGTTTGGGCGGCATAGGCGCGCGGGAGTGCGCGAGCACGCGGCTGTGCGCGGAGGGCGCCGTGGGGCAGTCGTCGTCGATCGCGCACGCGCGCAGCTGCGAGGGGGAGAGCGCGGAGATGCGCCATGCCCTGCGGAGAGAACACGAACGCGGGGACACTGGTCAGAGCGGAACAGCGCGCGAAAGAACTGCGCAGAGAGTTGCGCTGAAGACTGCAACAAGCAGCACAGATGAATGAAAGACAGAATAAAAGTCTTTCGCCTCTGACTCGGAGCGCACCTATTAACCCTCGCGGCGGTGGCGAGGTCGTCGAGGGACGGCAGCATCTCCAGCACCGACGACAGCACCTCCACCGGCACCCCCGACCCCACAACGCTCCCTCGCCCTGCATCGCCTCCTGTCGTGTTCTCGCTCCGAACGGAGCGAGTGAGCGCACTGCTACTCAAGGCGAGAGAATCAAAAGAATGCGGGAGAACTTCTGTGGGAGGCGAGGATTCCGCGACCATGGCGGTTCGTGACTGTGTGAAAACCTGTCGTCTATCGTGAGCTGCAAGAAACGTAACGGAAAGAGAGGCCTCGGAGTCTTTTGGGGAAAAAAAATATTGTTGAGTTTAGGGAGCTAATGCAAGAGGAGGGAATGGAAGCAATGAGGGAGGAGTGGTGGAAAAAATAGTGGCAAGCCTTTCACATGGGGTTGAGGAAGCAACGCTGTTCAACTAGCATTCAACCGTTGGAAACCGAATAGTATTGTTTCTCGACCGTATTGACCCTCTCGAAAGTGAGAGTTCAAAAGCGACGTGTTGGTGATTGGCTGATGTACGAACCACTACACGATTCAATTTGTCTGACAGCTGACACCGGTGTTTCCCGCGCGTTTCTTGAGCATGAGTGCTTCGTCATCAACAAGAAACTCGATACTGTACACGACGCGATGCGATATAATCACCGGCTAGGCAATCACAACTCATCATTTGATCACGGTAATCTGCGTCGTGATTGTCATTCCTTCAGTCGATCTCCCCACACCCCACAGGGCTTTTCGGCAGGGCGGCAGGCAAGCACCCCCACCGAATCAGGTGAACCTACCTTCCACCTTTCTGCACCATGGCTTATTATACCTCACCAGCCTTACATTGTTTAGCTTTATCGTTTGCCGGACACTATGATCCTCCAGGAAAACACGGTTGTGCCTCCGCGTCGCCTCCATGGGCTATGCAAGGAAGACTAGCTCCCGGTTCCTCACAACTGTCCTTCCGTGTCTAGCGGCGGTCGTCGTCGCTCTCCTGCCACGTGTCGTCCAGCCCGTGACTCTCGCCGAGTCCCAAGGTGCGCCATGCTCACAGCACAGCCTTGCGTAATGTTCTCATAGTAACGCGCGCCACGCCCATACAGTGGGTGTCCAGTAGCAGCTGGGTCCACCGCAGCGCCCACTCGCCACGGATCCGCCCTTCTTGTCGTTCGTTCAGCCCACCTTGCACTCTCGGAAAGCTGTGGTCGAATCCCGTTTTCCTGCTGCCCGCTGCTCCTTCCCCCCCTTATATCCCGCACACTCAGCGCGCAGCGGCGGCGCTGAAGGAGTGCGCGGCGGAGTGGGGGATGAGCGCGGCGGGGTGGGCGCAAGGCGCGGACTGTGCGCAGGTGAAGGGGGTCACGTGCGACAAAGGCAGCATGGTCACAGAGCTATCAGTGCCCCGGGGGGACCGGGAGCGCGTAGGGGGGAAGCGGGGTGGAAAGAGAGCGAGGGGCGATGAGGGGAGCAGCGGGGCATAGCGGATGCGCATGGGCGGAGGCGCGAAGGCATGGAGTGCGAGAGCGGAGGGCCCGTGCACCATGAGTGCCTCCACTCCGCCCACTGCTGTTGCTGCTGTTGTTGCTGCTGCTGCTGCTGCTCCTGCTGCCCCACATGCATGTGTTGGTCCCGTGGTGGACCATAAATGCCACTCTCCCCGCGTGCTGCACTCGGCCATCGCACCACCTGCGTCACTGCTCGCTCTCTGCCCCCCCCACCTGCACACCTTCCCACCACCCCTCCCCTCGCTCCATGTCCTCCTCCCTCGCCGCAACCATCCCCCATCCCCCCTATTGTGCAGGCTCCTCAACTATGAGAACCTCACAGGCTCCATCCCCCTCGCCCTCACCACGCTCTCCCGCCTGCACTCGCTGTGAGTCGCACGCTGTGAGTTGCCTCGCCCTGCCCCCAGCTGCCCTCTCACTCGCTCTCTCCCCACCTCTCTCCCCACCTCACCCATCACCTCACCCATCATCACCTCACCCATCATCACTTCACCCATCATCACTTCACCCATCATCACCTCACCCATCATCATCTCACCCATCATCACTTCACCCATCATCACCTCACCAATCATCACTTCACCCATCATCACCTCACCCATCATCACTTCACCCATCATCACCTCACCCATCATCACTTCACCCATCATCACCTCACCCATCATCACCTCACCCATCATCATCTGACCCATCATCACTTCACCCATCATCACCTCACCCATCATCACTTCACCCATCATCACCTCACCCATCATCACTTCACCCATCATCACCTCACCCATCATCACTTCACCCATCATCACCTCACCCATCATCACTTCACCCATCATCACCTGACCTGTCACATCACCATCCCTCCTCCCCTCCTGCCCGTCCGTTCCCCTTCCACCCACCACCCCCCTTCCCCCGGTGTTGCCAGGGATCTGCGGTCCAACAGTCTCTCTGTGCCTCTGCCCCCCGCCCTCTCCTCCCTCCGCCTGCTCACCTCCCTGTGAGGCGCAGTGAGAGGCACAGTGAGAGGCACTCCCACGTGGCAGGCATGTGGTGCTTGCGATGGCAGGGCTGTGATCGTGGCAGGGCTGTGATCGTGGCAGCAGTGAGCGTGGCAGCAGTGAGCGTGGCAGCAGTGAGTGTGGCAGCAGTGATCGTGGCAGCAGTGAATGTGCCTTCAGCCGTGTGACCCTCTGTGTCGGTGCACCTGCACACTTTGGTTGGTGTTTGATCTCCGCATGTCCGCATGCGTGTGTGTGTGCGTGTGTGCATGCGTGCATGTGTGAATGTGTGCATGTGTGCATGCGTGCATGTGTGCATGTGTGCATGTGTGCATGCGTGAATGTGTGCATGTGTGCATGCGTGCATGCGTGCATGTGTGAATGTGTGCGTGCGTGCATACATCCATGCATGGATGCAGGGCTCTGAGTGACAACAACCTCACGGGTCCGATCTTTACCACCATTGCCCGCATGCCATCGCTCCTCAAACTGTAATCACCCTTCTGTAACCATCCAACGGTAACCATCCAACTATAACCACCCAACTGTAACCATCTAACTGTAACCATCCAACTGTAACCATCCAACTGTAACCATCCAATTGTAACCATCCAACTGTAACCACCCAACTGTAACCACCCAACTGTAACCATCCAACTGTAACCATCCAACTGTAACCATCCAACTCTAACCATCCAACTCTAACCATCCAACTGTAACCACCCAACTGTAACCACCCAACTGTAACCATCCAATTGTAACCATCCAACTGTAACCATCCAACTGTAACCATCCAACCATAACCATCCAACTGTAACCATCCAACTGTAACCACCCAACTGTAACCACCCAACTGTAACCATCCAACTATAACCACCCAACTGTAACCATCTAACTATAACCATCCAACTGTAACCATCCAACTGTAGCCATCCAACTGTAACCATCCAACTGTAACCACCCAACTGTAACCATCCAACTGTAACCATCCAACTGTAACCATCCAACTGTAACCATCCAACTGTAACCATCCAACTGTAACCATCCAAATGTAACCACCCAACTGTAACCATCCAACTGTAACCATCCAACTGTAACCACCCAACTGTAACCACCCAACTGTAACCCCTATCACCCGCTGCACTGCTTGTCGTGTGCCGGCCCCTCACCATGGGGCTCTGCTTGCAGTGTCTTGACCGTACGGCCTCTGCTTGCACTGTCTTGACCGTACGGCCTCTGCTTGCACTGTCTTGACCGTACGGCCTCTGCTTGCACTGTCTTGACCGTACGGCCTCTGCTTGCACTGTCTTGACCGTACGGCCTCTGCTTGCACTGTCTTGACCGTACGGCCTCTGCTTGCACTGTCTTGACCGTACGGCCTCTGCTTGCACTGTCTTGACCGTACGGCCTCTGCTTGCACTGTCTTGACCGTACGGCCTCTGCTTGCACTGTCTTGACCGTACGGCCTCTGCTTGCACTGTCTTGACCGTACGGCCTCTGCTTGCACTGTCTTGACCGTACGGCCTCTGCTTGCACTGTCTTGACCGTACGGCCTCTGCTTGCACTGTCTTGACCGTACGGCCTCATTTTTTTTCCCTTTTCCTCGCTTCCTCTCCTCTTTCCATCTCGACCCCACCGTTCTGCCTCCACCTCCTCTCTGCACCTCTGCCGTCCCTTCCTCCCATCTATCCACCCCAAGCCCCTCCCCTCCGCCCCCCATCTGTCTCTGCCTTACCATGCCTGCTTCTCCTCACGTCTGCTCTCACTTTCTTTCCACGCCACCCCTCCTGCCCCCGCACCCCTCCTGTCCCCATCCCCCTGTTCCCCCATCCGCTGCCAGCGTGCTCAGGAGCAACAACGTCACAGGGCCCTTCCCACACACACACTCTCACGCCTGCACCGACTCTCATATCTGTCAGTCTCACACCCGTTACTGTCACTACTGGTACTGTCACTCTCTCGCCCTCACCTATTCACTTCCTCTGCACAGCATCGCCCCCTGTGCCCCTTCTCACCCTCGCGTCCCCCCTCTGCCTTGTGTGATTCCACCAGAACCACAACATCCCCCCCAACTTCTCATGGGTCACCTTGACTCATAGTCGACGGGCTGCAGTAGTTGTAAAGACGCTTAAGCAAAGGATCAACAGTGAAAAAAACGAGTCGACAGTGGTGCAGTCAGCGGGCAATGCGTAGGGGCCGGGTGTGCACCCGCGTAAGGGCAGCAGCCCGCGCAGTAGCAGGCAATGCGTAGGGGCGTGCGGGGCAGCACGCAGTGCGCACTGCAGGCGGGGCGCACGAAGGCCACGAAGGCTGCAGCAGCAGCGCATGCAGCAGTAGCAGCCACGTAAGTGACAGCAGCAGCAGCGCTCAGTAGCGCGGACGAGAAGGGCTGGGCTAGGGGCTCGCAACGGAAAGGAAAAGAAAGAAAGAAAGGAAGAAAGAAAAACGATCGCGCCCTAGGGGCGCACGACGGGCAGGAAGGAACTAACGGTGGGCCCTTAAAAATTTCGGTCCTAGGCTAGGAACGTCCTAGCTCTTAATACCATGTTGGAATACTAAGGAAGAAGTGTCGATTAGGTCAAGGGAGGGGGTAGAAGGAAATTTTCGAGATGGTTTCTATACCCCCTAAAGATAGCCCCAATGTAGCCTAGAGAAATGCAAACATAAACATATATGTTTTGACATTGGCCTCTAAGGCCACAAAGTCCAAACGTGCCTGGCCGCGTCGCTGTAGCTCTCGCAGGAGAAAGTACCTCACGTCAATATGCTTCAATCCGCTCTCCAGTCAAGGCTCTCGACACAGGAGGATCATGGCCTTGTTGTCAGCGTACAAGGTTGGTGCAGAGCGAGGCCGCTCACCAAGGTCGGCAAGCAAGAAGGTCAACCAACGGAGCTCCTGTGCCGCCATGGCACCAGCGTAGATCTCTGCCTCTGCACTGGACGAAGCCACAGACAACGACCGTGTGGACCTCCACAACACGGCACCAGCACCCAGACCGAAACAGTAACCTTGAGTCGAACGCTGGGTCTCCGCGTCGTCAGCGTAGGAAGAGTCGCAGTGATCGGTCAACTCAAATGGCTGTGTCCCTCCAAGCACAAGCCCCATGCCTGATGTAGCCACGAGGTACTTCGCCACCCTCACAGCAGCTGTCCAGTGAACAGGTCGGTGTCTCCCAGTCGCAACAAAGCGAGAGAGGACGCTGAGGGGAAAGGCGAGGTCCGGCCGAGTACAAGTCACCAGGTACATGAGGCAGCCCACAAGCTCTACGTAGGGACCACTAGACTCAAAGGGCTTGTCGGGAAAAGGGTCAGTGAGACGGTGGTCAACGGCAAGAGGAGTGGGCTGTGTGGTGGAGAACTGAAACCCGAACCGCTGAAGGACCTGCTGCACCATGTGTGACTGAGGCAGTGTGATGGTGCGAGCGGCTCTGTCCCTAGTGATCTGCAGGCCAAGGTAGCGCTACAGCTCACCGAGGTCAGTGCACGTGTGTCTCCTCTGCAGTTCGGATTTCACCTTTGCTTGTGCTGCCCTGTCAGCTGTAGCAAACGCCAGGTCGTCGACGTAGACCAGGAGAAAGAAGGGAGTGGAGCCAGTGCAAACAAACAGCGACGGGTCAGCAGAGGAGGGACAAAACCTTAGGTCACGAAGCGTGGAACGCAGAGTGTCGTGCCACTCACGGGGCAACTGGCGGAGACCGTAGACTAGCCGCCTCAAGCTCCACTGAGTCCCACGTGGGAAGGTGTCAGTGAAACCAGGAGGACGGCCCAGCCAGATCTCCTCGTGTAAGCTACCCTGGAGGAAAGCAGTGGAGAAGTCAAGAGAGTGCAGCTCGTAGTCTCGCTGTGCTGCTACGTGGAGTAACACCTGAAGAGTAGTCATCTTCGGGGTTGGGGCGAAGGTATGGAAGAATTCAACTCCCTCACACTGACTGAAGCCCCTAGCCACGTAACGCGCCTTGAACACAGGCGGTGATCCAGGCGGCCGTTTCACCTTGAAGAGCCACATGCCATCGACAACGTTTGCCCTGGGAGGGGGAACTGTGTCGACGTAGGTGCCTGTGGATCTCCAAGAAGCCAACTCTGAGTCCATGGCCGCTTTCCACTGAGAGGCCCACTCCCCTGACACTGCCTCACTGAGGAGTCGGTATGTCAAGGGCGTCGGGGTCTCCCTCAGGGGAAAGCAGCATGGCACAGAGAGAGGGGGAAGCGGCTGCCAGGAACTCCAGCTCAAACTGCCTGTCCTCAAAGACGTCACAGCCAAGGGCAAACCCACCCCCGACGGCCTCAGGACGGGCGGGCGGGGCAGCCACGACACGCGTGGCAAAGTCAAGGCGGCGGGTGGATGCAAAGTCAGTAACACCGACAGTGAGAGTGGAGACAGACAACGGAGAGGCACGAGGGTCGGTGACAAGAGAGGCGAGAACACGCGAGACAACAGGACGCGCCGTATGGTAGTAGTCAGTGATAGGGTGAGAGGAGACTGGGAGAGACGACGAAGGAGGTGACGGGAGAACAGACTCTGGTGGAGTACGACGAGGACTGGAACGAAACAAGGTAGTGCAGAGGTCGGCAAGAGGAGACGAGGGACAAGCATGCGGGGGACAACGAGTGGTCCAGTCGTGCGGGACAACAGGAGGAGGAGGGATAACAGCCGGAGACGAGTCCCGAGGAGGAAACGTAGGACCGTAAGTGGGCAGTGACTGCGGGTGGACAAGAGGAGGGTATGGAAGACCAAGGGCCCGAAGGCCACTCACTGGTGTGACCACGGGCTGCGGTGGCTGTTGCTGCTGCGGCTGCTGCTGCGGGTGTTGCTGTTGCGGCTGCTGCTGCTGCTGCTGCTGCTGCTGCTGCTGCAGCTGCTGCGGTGGGTGCTGCTGCGCCTGCTCCTCTTGCCAGTCCAACTGTCGCAGCTGCTGCCTCTCCTGCTCCAAACGCTCCTGCTCCTCGCGCTTAAGACGGCAAAGAGCCTGGAGACGTGTGTAGTAGCAGGGTGGGGGCGAGCCGCCAGCTCCCGTCTCCTCAGTGCCACTACCTCCAGCGTCGGCACCCTCGGCTCCACTGTCCCCAGTATGAGCACCGCCAGCGCCTGTACCTCCACCTCCAACACCCCCAGAGATAGCACCTCCAGTGCCAGCACCTCCAGCTCCAACACCCCCAGAGCTAGCACCTCCAGTGCCAGCACCTCCAGCTCCAACACCCCCAGAGCTAGCACCTCCAGTGCCAGCACCGTCAGCTCCAACACCCCCAAAGATAGCACCTCCAGTGCCAGCGCCTCCAGCTCCAACACCTCTCGAACGAGCGCCCTTAGCCCAAGTACCTCCAGCGGCAGCACCTCCAGCTCCAACACCACCTGAATCTACAGTAACCTGTCGCGAAAGTGCCGAAGGCTGCTGAGGGGACTGTGAGGAGGACTGCGGGGAGGGAGACGCTACCTGACGCGCGACCGAGGGGAGAGGGGTAGCGTGAGACACACCTGACGGGGCAGGACCAGGGTGGGGTGGGTGGTCTTGGAGAGCGGGAGCAGGAGGAGGAGAGGGTGAGGAAAATAGGAGGAGGGGGGACCGGGAGACCTCGACAGGGGTACCTGGTGTAGTAGGAGACTGACTCGTCAAACCAGACGTCACGAGAGTCGAGAAACTGGTGGAGGGGCGGGTGGTAAAAGGAGTAGTCGGGAGAACCCACCGGGAAACCAAGGAAGACACAGGGGATGGCGCGAGCCGAGATCTTGTCCGCAGAGGTATCGCGGACAAGTGCAAGGCAGCCCCAGACATGAAAGACCGACCCAACAACAGGGGACCTGGTCCAAAGACTGGTCGCTGAAGCCTCTGGCCGCGAGACACACGACTGGAGGTTCAGCTGGTGGGCGGCGTATTGCACCGCGTAGGGCCACAGAAAATGGGGCGCACGGGCATGGATCATGGACGTATGAGCGATGTCCATGACCAAGCCAATGCGGCGCTCAGCAACCCCATTATGCTGTGGGGACTCCGGAAGCATCCAGGACTGTATGATGCCCTGCTCGCCGCAGAACCCGGCAAGAATGCCAGAGCGAAACTCACCCCCACTGTCGGAGTGGAGACAACTGACACGACTACCACGAGTGCCCTCAGTTGCCAGAAGCCACCGGATCAGCGTAGCAATCACCTCGGACTTCTTCGCGAGAGGAAACACCGTGGTGTACCTGGAGTAGTCGTCGACGACCACCAAAAAGTAGCGCTCCCTCCCAGATCCCTGCGTCTGTGCAGGGCCCCAGACGTCCAAGTGGAGAGTCTGGAAGGGAGCAGTGGCCGGACGAAGGGAGGAGGAGTGCGGAGTGGCTCGCAGGTGGCCGGCGATGCAAGGGGCGCAAGGTGGAGCAAGTGAGCGAGGGAGCGACGGAAAGACGCGCGGGAGACCTGCGACAAGACGGTGACTGGCCATGTTGCGTAGGCGGAGGAGCGACGGGTGGCCAAGGCGGTGGTGCCACAAAACGGTCGGGTGGGCTAGGGACCGACAGGAGCAAGACGCAACAACTAGACCGGACACAGCAACCTGACCGGACACAGCAACCGGCGGGGACGCAATAACCTGACCGGACTCTGCTACCGGGGGGGGGGACGAAGCAACCTGACCAGACGCAGCTACCTGCGGGGGTGGAGTGTGCAGGACGAAGAGACCTGAGTGGGGCTCTCTGGTGAACGTGGCAAGAACTGCCCCGGTGGAAGAGACTGTACAGATTGCAGTCCTCCCGTGCGCAGGAAAAGTGACTGTGATCCCCCGGTCCTGAAGGTATCCAACACCCACCAAGTTCCGAGAGAACTAGGGGATGTAGAGACCAGTGAGGAAACCAGAGGGGACAGCCGGGCACGGGAGAGTGGTCGAGCTGCGAGCAACTGCTGGTCCTGAAGTCGGATCAGCCAGGGCAACTGGGACTAGAGCCGAAAGAGGTGTGACAATGGTGTGGTCGCGGAAGAAGCACTGAAATGCGCCGGAGTCTAGCATGAAGGAGAGCGACGCAACAGCAGTCGTCACGACTGAGCTAGTGACTACACAAGCACCTACACTAAAAGCACAAGTACCGACACTAGCAACAGGCAAAGGTCATAAGCTAGGTACACGCAAGCCAAGAGATCCGTACGTGACAGAATAAATAGCATCCATTGACATATCAAACACAGGGTAACCACTACGAAACAGACCAGGCCAGATCGGGGGAGCCGACTCAGGCCCAAAACGCTCACGGTAGTGGTCGCAGAGGCGACTGTAGCAGCGCTGTGCAGAGTGGTCAGGACGCCAGCAGGTAGTGCCAGCACCAGGGCCGGTCAGGATCCGGTACTGGCAAGGATCGACGTCGCGGCCACCGCGACGAGCCCCCAAGCTGGCTGGGCCGCTGCTGCAGCCAACGCTACCCGAACCACCAGGCCCCCACTGCTGTTGAGGGCGCCACAGCTGCTGAGGGCGGAGCTGCTGTTGAGGGCGTCACAGCTGCTGAGGGCGGAGCTGCTGCTGAGGGCGCCACTTCTGGTGTGGGTGCCACTGCTGCTGTGGGCGCCACTGTTGAAACTGCCGCTGCTGCTGTCCCTGCTGCTGGAGAACCCTAGTGGACGCCATGATGAAGGCTAGGCGCGATAGGAGCTAGGGACGATTGCAGTGGAACAGCGAGAACAACTAGGAGCGCCAGGTGAACTAGGCGAGGAACGGCTGGAGCACGGAGCAAACTGAGCTAGGAGCGCCAGGTGAAATTAGGCGAGGAACGACCGGAGCACGGAGCAATCTGAGCTAGGAGCGAGGAGCGAGAATGACTAGAGCTAGAACGGCTGGAGCTGAAACGGCTGGAGCTGAAACGGGTGGAGCTAGAACGGCTGGAGCGAGAACAGCTGGAGCTAGGCACGGTTGGAGCTAGGAGTGGCTGGAGTTAGAACGGCTGGAGCTAGAGACTGTAAGTGCGGCACTAGGGGCTGAAGTACTGACGGTTGCGGTATGTAGGGAACTGTGTAGGTCGTCCGCCAAGCAGGAACGCGGGCGACAGTTGCAGCCCCCCACCCTGAACCCCCCCCCCCCCCCCCTCCCCTTTTTTTGTTTAAGTTTTTTTTAAGGTTTAATTAATTTATTTATTTTCTGGCTCTAAAGCACTGCGGGGCGCGCTGCCTGCAGGGTGTGCTGCCTGCGGGGCGCGCTACCCGTGGGGTACGCTACCCGCAGGGTGCGCTACATGCGGGGCACGATACCTGCGGGGGCGCGCAGCCTAGGGGCAGGGCGACGCGCGGGCTAGGGGCAGGGCGCACGGGCGCGCACGGGCTAGGGGCAGTGCGCACGGGCGACGTGTCGGGCTGGGGCAGGGCGCATGGGCGACGTGACGGGCTGGGGCAGGGCGCACGGGCTACGCGACGGGCTAGGGCAGGGCGCACGGGCTACGCGACGGGTTAGGGCATGGCGCACGGGCGACGCAACGGGCTGGGGCAGGGGCCACGGGGGAAGCGACGGGCTGGGGCGGAGGTGCGATACGGAGGGCGTGGAGGGCGCGTAGGGGAGGGCTAGGCGCGGAGGCGCGGATGGCGCGTTACGAAGGGTGCGGAGTTCGTGGAGGGCGTGTTACGGGAGGCTAGGGCGCGGAGGGCGCTATGGCGCGGAGGGCGCTAGGGCGCGTAACGGAGGGCGCGTAAGGCGCGCAGATGCTCTAGAGCGCGGAGGGCGCGAGGGCGCGGAGGGCGCTAGGGCGCGTGACTGAGGGCGTAAGGCGCGGAGGCACTCTAGGACGTGAGGTAGGCTAGGCTAGGCAAGGATTCTAAACCTACCCGTGATACCATCTTAGAAAATGAATGCAACGGAATGAATGAACTAGGCAGCAGTTGGATACAAATAGAAACCCTAAGTGGGTTATCCCCTTTAGAGGACACCTCACTACAGCCTATAACAAATAATAACATTGGACACTATGCTGGTAAATTGTGAGAACAAGAATTGATAATATAGAAAACGTACAAGTGATTTATAGTCTAAGAATTACCTATTCTATAATGTATCTATTCGTGAATAGAGCTTTTACTGAGTCTACTCCTGAAGGGGTACTTTCCTGCGTGACGCGAACAGTCATGAGACTGTTCGCACTGCTACCTGTAACCTTCGCGAAGAGACACATGCTACAGTAACACATACATATAATAATAATACGATATTACTGTAGGTTTAATCTATCGAACGACTGAATTGCGTAAGTCAACTTTTCTTTTTCCAACAACAACAACCAATAAAGTGATAGGAACAAAAAGGACCAAAGTACAAGAAATTATGCCAAGCTTCCTTGCTCGCAAAAAACAAACGTGCAATTCTTGAGTTTTTTACAAGCACACTATTGCAAGCTGCCTGCGATGTTGATGAACCCGTGCGAAATGCACGGAAAGTTATAAGTAAACCCGAAATGTAGTGGTATGTGGGACTCTAATGGACATTAACTGTAACCTCAAATTATGCCATTGATGTTTTCAGGCGTAATCACCAATAGAGACATTGTTTCGCGATATAGTATTGGCAGTTCTGTCAACATTGCTTGTACAGTCACTAAAAAAAATTGGTTCGAGTCGCAAACCAGAACTGTAGCACTAGGGAAAAAACTCAAACCTGTAGGGAACCTGGACCAGTTTCGGGACGGGACGGGTCAAACCTAAACACGAAAGCCACCCCATGTTTGGGATTTCAGCCCTTTACGAATAACTTTTACCTAACTGGTACCTTAATCTAACAAATATTGGTTGGGAAGAGTAAACTCAAAGGTTCTGTGTTTGTCACTTTCTCAAGAGTGTGATTTGCGTGAGAAGTGTGATTGAATAGCGACAACCACTCGACGTCCTTTTCGGCTATTGTACGAAACTAGGTGTCTAATTTGCAGGGGGTGCTTTTCGGGAATCGTACGAAAGCAGATGTCTAGTTTCCTGGCGTCCTTTTCAGCACTTGTACGGTTGTCGTGCTTTGCACGACAACATCCGAGGTGACTGCCAAGTTGCCTACAGCAAATTCAGTCAAGGCTTGAATCTCTCATCCGAGGCAAACTTCTGTACGTCACAGGAGCAAGTACCACGCGCCGCGCCGCACCGCGCGGCGCCATGGCCTCACCAAGGCCCTGTTCGGCAGCAACCATCTGGCTTATATCAGCGCCATCCGTGCCCTTCACCATGATCGCCTGGGAAGCACGATGGCCTGTGCAGCAACGGATACCGCCGCGCAGTCGCGGGTCCTCGTACCAGTCCTTCCGTGTTTCGCGGCGCTCCTCGTTGCTCTCCTGCCGCGTGTTGTCCAGGCTGTGACGGTGACTCTCGCCGACTCCCAAGGTACGCTACTCGTGAAGAATTTCTAGGGTTTGAACCACAGCAAGTGTGCTTATTTCTGCAGTTATGGCTCTGTGATCCACCTCCTTCACCTCCTGCATTATCATGATTCACCTTCATGAGACGGGACTTCCGTCCTATCATACCCTAGCGTACCTATTCTCCTCTCCTCCTCCCTCTCCCCCCAACTCTCCCGCTCCTTCTCCCTCTCCCTCCCCCAATCCCTCTCCCTCTCCCTCTCCCTCTCCCTCTCCCTCTCCCTCGCCCTCTCCCTCTCCCTCTCCTCTCCCTCTCCCTCTCCCTCTCCCTCTCCCTCTCCCGCTCCTGCCCTCAAATCCCGCATTCCTGCTGTCCGCCTCGCCTTTCCCCCCTTCATCTCCCCCCCAATGGGCGCGAAGCGGCGGCGCTTAAGGAGTGCGCGGCGGAGTGGGGGGTGAGCGCGACGGGGTGGGCGCAAGGCGCGGAGTGCACGCACGCGGAGACGGTCACGTGCGACAAGGACGGCATGGTCACAGAGCTGTCAGTGCCCCGGGGAACGGCAGCGCGCGGGGGGGAAGCGTGGGGGGAGTGCGGGGGCGATGAGGGGAGCAGAGGGTGGGCAAAGGGGCGAGGGCGGGGGCGAGAGCGCGGGGTGCGATGAGGGGAGCAGCGGGGCATAGCAGATGCGCATGGGGGAAGGGGTTGAGGGCGTGGAGTGTGAGAGCCGCAAGCACATGCGCCATTGAGTGTCGCCCATTGTTGCCGCCCAGTGCTACTGTTGCTGGCGCTCCACACGCATGGCTTGTCACCATGGGCCATGGCACTCTCACCTCATATGCTTCATTCATTCATTCACCACACTCCTCCATTGCTCCACCTGCATCATCGCATCGCCTCCTCGCTGCCTGTCCGCCGCTCCTCCCAAACCTCCCCATCATTCCTCTGCGTGTTGCGCAGGCTGCTTAACTCACAGGGCCTCACGGGCTCCATCCCCCTCGCCCTCACCGCGCTCTCCCGCCTGCAATCGCTGTGAGTCGCACATAAGAGTCGCCAGGGGCCGGCCCGGGCCTTGTGAGTCGCCTTGCCCTGCCCCTACCTGCCCTCTCGCTCGCTCTCTCCCCACCTCACCCATCACATCACCCACCACGTCACCATTCCTCCTACCCTCTTGCCCTTTCTTCCCCTTCCACCCATCCCGCCCCGCCCACTCTCCCCCCGGTGATGCCAGGGATTTGCAGAGCAACAACCTGTCCGGCCCTGTGCCCCCCGCCCTGTATCACCCATCAAGTCACCCATCACGCCCTTCCCTTCCCCTTCCATCCTCCACTCTCTCCTCTGTGCTGCCAGGGATCTGCAGACCAACAACCTGTCCGGCCCTGTGCCCCCCGCCCTCTCCGCCCTCCGCCTGCTCACCTCCCTGTGAGGCGCAGTGAGAGGAACAGCGAGAGGGGCAGTGAGAGGGGCAGTGAGAGGGGCACTGAGAGGGGCACTGAGAGGTGCACACTTATCCTTGTGTTTCTGTTGTGGTTGTGTTCGTGTGTACGTCTGTCAATGTGCACACTTATCCTTGTGTTTCTGTTGTGGTTGTGTTCGTGTGTACGTCTGTCAATGTGCACACTTATCCTTGTGTTTCTGTTGTGTTTGTGTTCGTGTGTACGTCTGTCAACGTGCATCTCCTCATCTTTGCAAGTGTGTGTGTGCCCACGTGCGCGTGACCGCGTGCGGCGTCTGTGTGCATGTGTGCATGTGTGCATTCGTGCATACAGGAGGCTGGGCAACAACAACAACCTCACGGGTCCAATCTTCACCGTCATTGCGCGCATGCCATCACTCGTCCAACTGTAACCACCCACCACAATCTCCAACTCCCTTCCCTCTCACCCATTGCACTGCTCGTCACGGGCCGGCTTCCCGCCGTTGGGCCCATCATACATTGCATTGCCAATGGATCCCCACGTAGGAGGCATGGCGTAGCGTGGCAGCAGCTGTGTTTAGCAAAACGTTGTGTAGTTAGGTTTTGTGCTTGCTTGTAAAAACCTTGTGAAAAAATAAAGTTGGCGGTGAGAACTAGTTTCGGCTCTTCGAGCCTTCTTCAGACCACAAAGTTCAGAAATGAGAAGCAAGCAGGCTAAATACCTACCCCAAGGGCTCAAACGCGAGGCATTCCTCCGCGTGGCCAGGGAAGGTGGGGGAAAGCTAGATGAAAACAGTAGAAAACAAATCTACAGTAGGCTAGCACTTATGAGCTGAAATTAAAAAATTACCAACTCGTTTTGGTAAACTCCAAGCGAGAATTGCCCTGCGTGTAGAAAAGATACCGTGTGACATTATACCGAGTTGACTTTTGAGTCGACTCAAATCTTCACCGTCATTGCGCGCATGCCATCACTCGTCCAACTGTAACCACCCACCACAATCTCCAACTCCCTTCCCTCTCACCCATTGCACTGCTCGTCACGGGCCGGCTTCCCGCCGTTGGGCCCATCATACATTGCATTGCCTGCAACATACTCTTCTCCTCCTCCTCCTCCTCCTCCTCCTCCTCCTCCTCCTCCTCCTCCTCCTCCTCCTCCTCCTCCTCCTCCTCCTCCTCCTCCTCCTCCGCCTCCTCCTCCTCCACCTGTCTCGTCCCCGCCAATCTGTCTCCGCTTTTCTCCCTCCACTTTACCCTCTTCACGTTTCTCTCACCACTACCTCTCTTCCACGTTCGCATTTGCTCCACAAACGCTCCGTCTTTTCTCCCCGCCACCTCCACTCACCCCACCCCCCCCCTTCAGCGACCTCTATACCAACAGCTTCACGGGGCCGGTTCCACTCACAGTCTCACGCCTGCAGAATCTCTCGTCTCTGTCAGTCCCTCGCCCTCGCCCCACTCCCTTCCTGCACCCCCCTTCCCACGCACACTGCTTTTCCGTCTCTCTTGTTCTTCCCGGCCGTCCGCTGCCCTCCTGCCCTCCTGTCCATCTTCCTTTCAGGAGATCTGCCCTTCCCACCGCCCCTTTCGCAATGACCTGCCCTTCCCACCGCCCCTTTCGCAATGCCCTTCCCACCGCCCCTTTCGCAATGCCCTTGCCCTTCCCACCGCCCCTTGTGTGCTGCCTGTCCGCGCAGTGAGTTGAAGTCCAACGACTTTCACGGGCCCTTCCCACCAGCCTTCACCCACCTCACCGCCCTCGCCTACCTGTATGCCTCTCCTCTCCCCACCCTCTCCTCTCCCCACCCTCTCCTCTCCCCACCCTCTCCTCTCCCCACCCTCTCCTCTCCCCGCCCTCTCCTCTCCCCGCCCTCTCCTCTCCCACCCTCTCCTCTCCCCGCCCTCTCCTCTCCCCGCCCTCTCCTCTCCCCGCCCTCTCCTCTCCCCGCCCTCTCCTCTCCCCGCCCTCTCCTCTCCCCGACCTCTCCTCTCCCCGCCCTCTCCTCTCCCCGCCCTCTCCTCTCCCCACCCTCTCCTCTCTCTACCGTCTCTTCCTTTTCGGTGCAGACCTCATCACCGAACATGCCATGCCATGCCTTACCGTTCCATGCCATGGCATACCATCCCAACTCATCCCAACCATCCCATCCCATGTCATCCCACCCCACGTTACACCATCCCCTCCCTCCCCACCACCCGTCCCCTCCGTCCCCACCCATCCTCCCTCCCCACCCCACAGGGGCATCGTATCGACAGGCCTCTCTGGCCCGCTGCTCCATGCCATCACCGCACTCTCCTCCCTTGAATCCCTGTAATGCACGCCTCTCCTCCGTTGAATCCCTGTAATGCACGCCTCTCCTCCGTTGAATCCCTGTAATGCACGCCTCTCCTCCGTTGAATCCCTGTAATGCACGCCTCTCCTCCGTTGAATCCCTGTAATGCACGCCTCTCCTCCGTTGAATCCCTGTAATGCACGCCTCTCCTCCGTTGAATCCCTGTAATGCACGCCTCTCCTCCGTTGAATCCCTGTAATGCACGCCTCTCCTCCGTTGAATCCCTGTAATGCACGCCTCTCCTCCGTTGAATCCCTGTAATGCACGCCTCTCCTCCGTTGAATCCCTGTAATGCACGCCTCTCCTCCGTTGAATCCATGTAATGCACGCCTCTCCTCCGTTGAACCCCTGTAATGCACGCCTCTCCTCCGTTGATTCCCTGTAATGCACTCCTCTCCTCCGTTGAATCCCTGTAATGCACGCCTCTCCTCCGTTGAATCCCTGTAATGCACGCCTCTCCTCCGTTGAATCCCTGTAATGCACGCCTCTCCTCCGTTGAATCCCTGTAATGCACGCCTCTCCTCCGTTGAATCCCTGTAATGCACGCCTCTCCTCCGTTGAATCCCTGTAATGCACGCCTCTCCTCCCTTGAATCCCTGTAATGCACGCCTCTCCTCCGTTGAATCCCTGTAATGCACGCCTCTCCTCCCTTGAATCCCTGTAATGCACGCCTCTCCTCCGTTGAATCCCTGTAATGCACGCCTCTCCTCCCTTGAATTCCTGTAATGCACGCCTCTCCTCCCTTGAACCCCTGTAATGCACGCTTCTCCTCCCTTGAACCCCTGTAATGCACGCTTCTCCTCCCTTGAACCCCTGTAATGCACGCTTCTCCTCCCTTGAACCCCTGTAATGCACGCTTCTCCTCCCTTGAACCCCTGTAATGCACGCTTCTCCTCCCTTGAACCCCTGTAATGCACGCTTCTCCTCCCTTGAACCCCTGTAATGCACGCTTCTCCTCCCTTGAACCCCTGTAATGCACGCTTCTCCTCCCTTGAACCCCTGTAATGCACGCTTCTCCTCCCTTGAACCCCTGTAATGCACGCTTCTCCTCCCTTGAACCCCTGTAATGCACGCCTCTCCTCCCTTGAATCCCTGTAGCATAGAAAAGCAGGTTCGACCTGGACTGGATCCACAGGTAACTTCGTCCTAATCTCCTCTAGGCTGAGCTTAGGCTAGTAGGGATTGAATAGGTAAGAAATTGTCATTCAAAACTGAGCGTACGCGCGTTTCGGCCGGTGGCCTTCATCAGCGCTCTCAGAGTTACAAGAATAAACTACTCCTTATCTACTCCCATCTACCGTGCCCAGCACTCAACCTAAGAAACAAGAAATCCAGTGCGGCTCGTCATTGCGGCTCGCTAGCTGGTTGTACAACATTTACAATAACAATCCAGCATGCAGGTTGATGGGACGAATTCAATCCCATCAACCCACGGGGGTGGTGTATCCCCGTTTTTGAAACCTCGCTTTCACCAAGAGGTTGCGTACCCTCTTTGGTAGGCGCCAACACACTAACATCCGTGGGAGGGAAATATGTTGCAGCGTGTGTTTTTGGAGAATTCTCAAAGAACCCCTGTAATGCACGCCTCTCTTCCCTTGAACCCCTGTAATGCACGCCTCTCTTCCCTTGAACCCCTGTAATGCACGCCTCTCTTCCCTTGAACCCCTGTAATGCACGCCTCTCTTCCCTGCACTACCTGTAACGCTGACTGCAAGTTGACTGCAAGCTGACTGCAAGGTGACTGCAAGTTGACTGCGAGTTGACTGCGAGTTGACTGCGAGTCGACTGCGAGCTGACTGCGAGCTGACTGCGAGTTGACTGCGAGTTGACTGCGAGTTGACTGCGAGTTGACTGCGAGTTGACTGCAAGCTGACTGCAAGCTGACTGCAAGCTGACTGCAAGCTGACTGCAAGTTGACTGCAAGCTGACTGCAAGCCGACTGCAAGTTGACTGCAAGCTGACTGCAAGTTGACTGCAAGCTGACTGCAAGTTCACTGCAAGTTGACTGCAAGCTGACTGCAAGCTGACTGCAAGTTGACTGCAAGCTGACTGCAAGTTGACTGCAAGTTGACTTCAAGCTGATTGCAAGTTGACTGCAAGTTGACTGCAAGTTGACTTCAAGCTGACTGCAAGTCGCAATCACAATCCATGTGTTCCGTGCTTTCTTTCGTATCCTTCAACACACCCCCTCCTCTTGTGGCTTGCATTGTCGCTTGCTTGCCATGCCATCACTGCACTTGCCTCCTCTTCACTTTCCCTCGCACCGCATCATGGCTCCCGCACACCGCATGTGTATGCTACATCACTCGCACATGTATTTACTCCCCCTTGTATAAACGCCCCTGCGTGCTGGCGTGCTGCACTGGCATCTTCAGCTACGCGTCAGGCAATGCTTGTGTCACCTGTGAGACTTCTCAAAAGGTTTTTCCCTTGTATATGCTCGCATGCCTGCTTGCATACTCGCGTGCTTGCATGTGGCACGGACACCATCAGCTACGCGTCCAGCAACAACATCTCAGGAAGCATCCCCGCCACCATCACTGCCCTCTCTCGCCTCGCACGCCTGTCAGTTGCACACGCACCCCCCCCCCTCTCCCTTTCTTTTTTGCTGCTCTGCTGCTCTTGGAGAGGGCTGAATGCGAATCCAAGAGCACGGGTTAAGAAAAACAGTAAAAGGCCAATCCTCCCCACCCCTTCCATCCCCCCTCCTCACCCCTTCCATCCCTCTCCCCACCACTGCCACCCTCCTACCCACTCGCACTGCACGGCAGGTCGCTGGATGACAACCCCCTCCTCTCGGGCTCCCTGCCCCGCGCCCTCTCTCGCCTCACCACCCTAGACCACATGTCAGCACAACCCCCCCCCCCCCGTCCCCGCTCCTCCTCCCCCCTGCTACACCTGTCCACTCCTCTCCCCCGCTCCTCCCCTTCGTCCATCTGCTTCCATTTGACTCTTCACACCTCTGCACCGCCTCTCACCACTCTGCCTTGCACCACCTCCTATAGCACCTCTTGTCTCCCCTCTCATGCACCCCACCATCTCCTCACCCTCATTCGCCTCTCTCTCACCCTCCTCTGCTGCTGGCCCTCTGTTCTCCTCTCCTTCTCCTCTTCCTCCCTCCTCCTTTTCACTTCCAATTTTCTCAAATGGTCCTTCATTAGTATAGGGCAGGCAAGCCGCAAGTACATCACAACTGATAAGGCGGGCACATCACAACTGATAAGGTGGGCACATCACAACTGATAAGGCGGGCACATCACAACTGATAAGGCAAGCACATCACAATTGATAAGGCGGGCACATCAGTCACAAGCAACTACAAAGCTGCTATCGAATGATGCTCCTACAGCGCTGCATCCCGGGTGAGTCGTAGCCGTACCATGAAGCCTCATCATTTCTCCTCCCTTATCCTCCACCCCCTCTCCCCCGTCCCCCCCCCCCCCCGTCCTCCCCCAGCACGCTGCAGGGCACGGCCATTTCAGGCGACCTGCCTCGCTTCCTCACCGCCCTCACACGACTCACCACCCTGTGCGTCCCTCCCCACCCTGTTCGCCCCACTCTTTGTCCCTGCACCTCTCTCCGCCCCTCTGCACTCTATGTGCCATTCTAAAGCGTTCCGTCTCTAGTTCCTGCCATCTCAACCGCCTGCCATCTCAACCGCTTGCCATCTCAACCGCTTGCCATCTCAACCGCTTGCCATCTCAACCGCTTACCATCTCAACCGCTTACCATCTCAAGCGCCTGCCATCTCAACCGCTTACCTTCCAACCCATTCACCCAACAGAGGTTTCGAGGCTTTGAGATTTTCGACCCCAGAACCGACGCGGGGCCCGCGTCGGTTCCTGTACCTTAGCGCTTTGTGATTAAGGGTTTTTCGAGGTTTGGAGGCTTTGAGATTTTCTTTTAATTTCTAGGAACAAGTATCACAAGTCTTGATCCTTTTGCTAAGCGTTTTCTCATAAGTTCGCTGCTACTCCCACTAAGAATCTTCAACCGCTTACCTTCCAACCCATTCACCCAACAAGTGTTATTTCAACCCGCACCTTCCCTCCCGTTCTGTCACGGCCTTTCCTTACCTCCCACCTGTCGTCCTTAGCTTTTTCCATTTCCCAAACCTCATTCCACACAGTGACGTGAGCAACACAGAGCTCAATGGAACCATTCCCGCCGCTTATGGAGCCTTGAAACTTCAATCCTTGTGCGATTCCCTCCTTTTCTTCCGGTTATCCCCATGCCCGTCTCTCCTTCTCTCCTCTTTTTTTTTTTTTTTTTTTTTTTCAACACCTCGCACCTGTCTCATTCCAACCCATTCTCCCTTTACAAATATTATATAAACGAAATCATGCGTTCATTCATATCCCTCTCTTGAATTACTCTTCAAATGCATCTAGTGATGCGTTTCTGCACCTCTTGTATTTTTCCTTCAAATGCGTAATCCCGCCCTGTGTATCCTCCACCCGCCCCTGCTCTATCAGTCAGTTTTCAAGGCTAGTTTGCCCAACGGACAACACCAGCTGTGAAATCAATCAGGACCGTTCATCCATGTTTTGCACCTTCTGTTCAGCGTTCTGCTCCACGTGTATCCCAATCAACGGTCAGGATCGGCCCGATCATGCACCCAGCACTGCACTGCTACGAGCACATCACATCACACCACGCACATGCCATGTCATGCTCCTCTGATTCTAAATCGACTCAACAATTCTATGACTGTATGTCCCAAACTCTCGCTCCGCAAATTTTCCCTCCAGCATTTCCTGCCGTTTCCTCACAGCCTTCTCTTCCATTCTCAAATTCGATCACATCCCATCCGCCCACCCATCCCCTGTTTACCCCATCCCAACCCCACCCGTCCCCTGCCAGTGCCAATCTCCAGTCCGCCTCCCCCTTCCCCTCCTCCCCCTCCGCCATCCCCCTCCCCCCCGCCTCCTCCCCCCACCATCACCGTCCTTCTCGCCCCCACTCCCCCCCCTCCCCCTCCACCCTCCGCCCTCCCACTGTCTGCGATTGTGGGGGCAGCAGTGGGTGCAGTGGTTCTGTTGTTGCTGCTGGTGGTGGCGGTGGCATGGGGGGTGTGGAGGTGGAGGAAGGGGAGGGAGCAGACGGAGCAGGACTCGAGTGAGTGGGGAAGGGAGAGGGAGGAAGGGGAGATTCTGAGGGCATATGGCATGAAGCCAGGATCGCATGACGGCAGGATTGCATGATGACAGGATTGCATGATGACAGGATTGCATGATGACAGGATTGCATGATGACAGGACTGCATGAGACAGGATTGTCAGAAAATATTTCGTTATATCTTAACATATAAACTGCCTACAGTATTAACTGGTTGGTAATGTAGTGTAACACTACAGCTGTTGGTGGTGCACCTCTTGCCTTTCCTTGCCTTGTATTCCCTGCTTCCTTTCACTAATGCAAACCTCTCTTTTGCCTTCTTGCTCTCGTGACTCCTAGTCTACTAAAGCTCTAAGCTTGTTTAACAAGGATTGCGTGAAAAGCAGAATTGCAGGATGACAGGATTGCATGATGGTTGATGGTTGAGACTTTTAACGCAGTGTCTCGGCATGTGGTGCGCGTGGTTGGGAGCGTTGTTTGAGTGTGTGGGGCGTTGCTCTCTTCCTCATACCCCTACGCCTACCCTCTTCTCCTCTTGTCAACACTCCATAGCAATCGCAGGGGAGGCAGGTGGGTGTCAAAATGTTTTAGTGTTTACCTTCTGTAGGCTGTAGTGGGGTAACCCATAAGGGGTACAACCCAATTAGGGTTAGTAGTTGTACCCAACTCATTCATAGTTCATTCATTCTCGTTCATTATTCTGATAGTGGGGTGACGTGTGCCAGGGGGAATGGACAGCGGAGGTGGATTGGGGTGGGGAGGAGTGTGTGGAGAAGCATGGGGGGGAGGATGGGGGGAAGGATGGGGGTGGAACATGAAAGAAAAACCAGGGGGAGAGGTGGGGGGGGGATCACAGGGGAAGCTGGAGGGAAGTGTCAAAGTGGAAGTTTCACAGGGGAAGCGGGGAGGAGAAGGGGGAGGGGGGAGGGGGAGCAACAAGGGGGAAGTTGCACAGGGGAAGCAATTTTCAGGGTTAAGGAAGCTTTTCATGGAAGCGGGGGGACAAGTGGGCATTGAAGCACATGAGGGGGGAATTGCATTAGTCAGACAAGGCAGCGTTTGAGGAGCATGTGGAGGGCTTGGCGCGCTTAGTGCATCCCAGTGTGCTGGGGCTCTCGTGGTGGTGATGCTGGGTTGGAGGCGGGAAGGAGTGGGGTAGCTTGGAGGCAGCACTGCAGCCATATGCGCGTCGTAGGGTCTGTGATTCCAATCAACATCATGTAAAACTCACCACTCACCCTCACCACTCTCCCTCACCACTCTCCCTCACCACTCGCCCTCACCACTCGCCCTCACCACTCGCCCTCACCACTCGCCCTCACCACTCGCCCTCACCACTCGCCCTAAGCCCAATCCATCCTTGCTCAAGGCATGGCAGGGCAAGGTGTGGCATGGCAAGGTGTGGCATGGCAAGGTGTGGCATGGCATGGTGTGGCATGGCATGGTGTGGCATGGCAAGGTGTCGCATGGCATGGTGTGGCATGGCAAGGTGTGGCATGGCAAGGTGTGGCATGGCAAGGTGTGGCATGGCATGGTGTGGCATGGCAAGGTGTGGCATGGCATGGTGTGGCATGGCAAGGTGTGGCATGGCAAGGCATGGCATGGCAAGGTGTGGCATGGCAAGGTGTGGCATGGCAAGGTGTGGCATGGCAAGGTGTGGCATGGCAAGGTGTGGCATGGCAAGGTGTGGCATGGCAAGGTGTGGCATGGCAAGGTGTGGCATGGCAAGGCATGGCAAGGTGTGGCATGGCATGGTGTGGCATGGCAAGGTGTGGCATGGCATGGTGTGGCATGGCAAGGTGTGGCATGGCATGGTGTGGCATGGCAAGGTGTGGCAGGGCAAGGTGTGGCATGGCAAGGTGTGGCATGGCAAGGTGTGGCATGGCAAGGTGTGGCATGGCATGGTGTGGCATGGCAAGGTGTGGCATGGCAAGGTGTGGCATGGCAAGGTGTGGCATGGCAAGGTGTGGCATGGCAAGGTGTGGCATGGCAAGGTGTGGCATGGCAAGGTGTGGCATGGCATGGTGTGGCATGGCAAGGTGTGGCATGGCAAGGTGTGGCATGGCAAGGTGTGGCATGGCAAGGTGTGGCATGGCAAGGTGTGGCATGGCAAGGTGTGGCATGGCAAGGTGTGGCATGGCAAGGTGTGGCATGGCAAGGTGTGGCATGGCAAGGTGTGGCATGGCATGGTGTGGCATGGCAAGGTGTGGCATGGCATGGTGTGGCATGGCAAGGTGTGGCATGGCATGGTGTGGCATGGCAAGGTGTGGCAGGGCAAGGTGTGGCATGGCAAGGTGTGGCATGGCAAGGTGTGGCATGGCAAGGTGTGGCATGGCATGGTGTGGCATGGCAAGGTGTGGCATGGCAAGGTGTGGCAGGGCAAGGTGTGGCATGGCAAGGTGTGGCATGGCAAGGTGTGGCATGGCATGGTGTGGCATGGCATGGTGTGGCATGGCAAGGTGTCGCATGGCATGGTGTGGCATGGCAAGGTGTGGCATGGCAAGGTGTGGCATGGCAAGGTGTGGCATGGCATGGTGTGGCATGGCAAGGTGTGGCATGGCATGGTGTGGCATGGCAAGGTGTGGCATGGCAAGGCATGGCATGGCAAGGTGTGGCATGGCAAGGTGTGGCATGGCAAGGTGTGGCATGGCAAGGTGTGGCATGGCAAGGTGTGGCATGGCAAGGTGTGGCATGGCAAGGTGTGGCATGGCAAGGTGTGGCATGGCAAGGTGTGGCATGGCAAGGTGTGGCATGGCAATGGTGTGGCATGGCAAGGTGTGGCATGGCATGGTGTGGCATGGCAAGGTGTGGCATGGCATGGTGTGGCATGGCAAGGTGTGGCAGGGCAAGGTGTGGCATGGCAAGGTGTGGCATGGCAAGGTGTGGCATGGCAAGGTGTGGCATGGCATGGTGTGGCATGGCAAGGTGTGGCATGGCAAGGTGTGGCATGGCAAGGTGTGGCATGGCAAGGTGTGGCATGGCAAGGTGTGGCATGGCAAGGTGTGGCATGGCAAGGTGTGGCATGGCATGGTGTGGCATGGCAAGGTGTGGCATGGCAAGGTGTGGCATGGCAAGGTGTGGCATGGCAAGGTGTGGCATGGCAAGGTGTGGCATGGCAAGGTGTGGCATGGCAAGGTGTGGCATGGCAAGGTGTGGCATGGCAAGGTGTGGCATGGCAAGGTGTGGCATGGCATGGTGTGGCATGGCAAGGTGTGGCATGGCATGGTGTGGCATGGCAAGGTGTGGCATGGCATGGTGTGGCATGGCAAGGTGTGGCAGGGCAAGGTGTGGCATGGCAAGGTGTGGCATGGCAAGGTGTGGCATGGCAAGGTGTGGCATGGCATGGTGTGGCATGGCAAGGTGTGGCATGGCAAGGTGTGGCATGGCAAGGTGTGGCATGGCAAGGTGTGGCATGGCAAGGTGTGGCATGGCAAGGTGTGGCATGGCAAGGTGTGGCATGGCAAGGTGTGGCATGGCATGGTGTGGCATGGCAAGGTGTGGCATGGCAAGGTGTGGCATGGCAAGGTGTGGCATGGCAAGGTGTGGCATGGCAAGGTGTGGCATGGCAAGGTGTGGCATGGCAAGGTGTGGCATGGCAAGGTGTGGCATGGCAAGGTGTGGCATGGCAAGGTGTGGCATGGCATGGTGTGGCATGGCAAGGTGTGGCATGGCATGGTGTGGCATGGCAAGGTGTGGCATGGCATGGTGTGGCATGGCAAGGTGTGGCAGGGCAAGGTGTGGCATGGCAAGGTGTGGCATGGCAAGGTGTGGCATGGCAAGGTGTGGCATGGCATGGTGTGGCATGGCAAGGTGTGGCATGGCAAGGTGTGGCATGGCAAGGTGTGGCATGGCAAGGTGTGGCATGGCAAGGTGTGGCATGGCAAGGTGTGGCATGGCAAGGTGTGGCATGGCATGGTGTGGCATGGCAAGGTGTGGCATGGCAAGGTGTGGCATGGCATGGTGTGGCATGGCAAGGTGTGGCATGGTATGGTGTGGCATGGCATGGTGTGGCATGGCAAGGTGTGGCATGGCATGGTGTGGCATGGCATGGTGTGGCATGGCAAGGTGTTGCATGGCAAGGTGTGGCATGGCATGGTGTGGCATGGCAAGGTGTGGCATGGCAAGGTGTGGCATGGCAAGGTGTGGCATGGCATGGTGTGGCATGGCAAGGTGTGGCATGGCATGGTGTGGCATGGCATGGTGTGGCATGGCAAGGTGTGGCATGGCATGGTGTGGCATGGCATGGTGTGGCATGGCAAGGTGTGGCATGGCATGGTGTGGCATGGCAAGGTGTGGCATGGCATGCTGTGGCATGGCAAGGTGTGGCATGGCAAGGTGTGGCATGGCAAGGTGTGGCATGGCAAGGTGTGGCATGGCATGGTGTGGCATGGCATGGTGTGGCATGGCAAGGTGTGGCATGGCATGGTGTGGCATGACAAGGTGTGGCATGGCAAGGTGTGGCATGGCAAGGTGTGG